CCACCTCCACCTTCAGCTCCCTATCCTGTGTCTCGATGTCCTCTTCTTTTCTGCACACGCTGTCCAAACCTTTTGATGATGATGATATTACTCAAATTGTTCTCTTCGCGTTGCAGAAACTGGTCCTCGTCGGAAATGGGGCTAGGCCCCGTTAGAGGCTAACTTCATAACTTTCAAAGCGTAAAGTTGAAAGATAGAGCTAAAGGTCGCTCTTAATCATATGACAGCATTCTGACTCAGACAGAAAGAGAGGGTATATTACTTGTGTGTCTCGAGTGTGAATCTCTCTAGCTGTTTGCAGATATCTTTTGTGTATCTCCGATCAATGCTCTAGATCTGGCGCATATGGAATCCTAAAATTATCATTACCGGTAGCATGAAATTAAAGTTAAAATAACCTGGAGTTACGTGTGGTATTAATTAAGCTGTCGGAAGATTGCTAACAGTTTTTTCATAATGCTTTCTCTTACCCCGACATGCCCAGTTGATGCTTCACTCTAGGCTGGCAAAATCGAAGTCGCAAAGCAAACGAGGTTCACGTATCCATGTAACCTAGAGGCAAAAAAGCACGTCGTTCCTAAAAATTTAAATACTATCACCGTATGCGTCAATTGATTTTGCCATCTTACTCTGACAGTGATGTATTCTTAACTGCTTTACAATTATGAGTGTGCATTCGATCGTCTCAGTGCGGACGTGAGCGAGGGCGTAAATTCGAGCTATTACGCAAATGTGCTTCATATGCGCATTATACTGGTAGCAAATTCGAGCTACTACACAAATGTGCTTCATATTCCAACTGCGCATAACGATGGCAACAGTGTTTGCATTGAAACAGAGCAGCTGAAAATTTTTCAATTCGAGATTTCAGCGCTGATTTGGGTACTACTAGATAGATTTACTTCAACCGAGCTTTCAAGCGTTAAGAAAAATTCCACTTATTCATGATAATCTTGCTAGTTCAAGCAGAAAAGCAAATACTGTACCTTCACTTTGACGCAAAACTTTTTTTTTTCCCCCGTATATTTTAATTATTTTTTATATAAAACAAATAGATTCCGAGTTGCCGTGCGTCTGTTCAGTAATAGATCACAGATAACGTCAAAATGTGGTAAGAACATCAGTGACGCACTCGGCTGCGCCTCGTGTGCCACTTCTTTGTTCTTACCACATTTTGACGTTATCTGTGATCCATTACTGAACAGACGCACGGCTTAGAATCTATTTGTTAATTAGTCTTTTGTGCACGGTTTAACCGGAGCTTGGCGTGCTGTTGACCAATCAAAGAGCGGCGGATGTCGTTAGAAAATCGTATTGCGCCTTCAGAAAAGGCGCTTTGTAATCGTTCAACAAGATGGAAATGCAGTCGCCTCAGAGGTACTCTACATGTGATTGTAGATTTTACTTTAATTGTTAGTATCGTTTTGACGTTTCTAGTTATGGGAATTTTGCTTCATATGAGAGGGTTTCAGTAATGTGCTTTAACTCCTTCGCATTCGAAAAGCACTTTCCCGTAACCTTAAAGAGGTTTTATCTGTATTTTACGTGTCGCAGATGTTTCTTGTGTTTCTTGCAAGCTAGCTAGTTAGGTATGCACTAAGAAAATTTGTTGGTTTGTATTTTTTTCTCCATCGTTTTGCTTACGTTTACAGTGTCGTAAACGGTAAATGATGAAAACAAAGATACAAGAAAAAGGTGTTATGAAAGGGAAGGTACCTAAACGTTTCGTTGTCTCCAAAAATAGTTATTTGAACTGCTTTTAGTGGAGGTCGTGGTCTTCGTCTTTCCACAGCTAGAAACTACTATCTCTTTGCAATTCGATAACTTTATTAAAATATTAACAAGCAAAGGTTTGATTCTTCAATTTAACTGTAATGTTGTAATTATTATTACGGTTAAAACACCGTTTCAAGGGTTGTATTGGCGTCGTAAATGGCAGAAAAATGTAGAAACTCACCGTTAAAATGGAACTCCTGTCTTCAGCCGTTTGTGCTTTATAGTGAATTCGAAGGTGTTTTCTTTTGTTGTGAATCTTTTAACTTTCTGCTCGATGTAGCTAAATAAGTAGGAGCCATGATTAAATAGGACGTGAATTTTGCCCAACTTTCCTACTAGAAAGTGATCTTTCTTCTCGAAACCATATTGCTCTTAATTCAAGATCATGTTCAAATCGTCAATGGCGTAATTGCATGTGCCCGCTTTGGTTTCATCATTTCAGCAAATATGTTTCAACCAGAGGGTAGAAATATTTAGTAAACGAAACTGAGTCTTATAAAAACAAAATGCTCCCTTCAAATCGCAGATTCATGATGCATCCGTCCAGCACTCAACGCATGCAGTCTTTTTGGTGATAAGTCATAGAGCAGGGACCTTTGATGTTGTTCAATGTATATGATTGCACTATCTGCTTTAAGTCACAAGAGAGTGCTGATCTAGCTAGATAAGTTGGAGTCATGGTAAAATAAATGTTAAATTTTGTCCTAAACAAGCTACACTTGAAAGCAGGGTTGTTGTAAATCTATCTATTAAAAACAATTGCGTTCCTACCTCAAGATCGTGTTCAAATTGCCATTAGCAGAGCTCCATGCACTTGCTTTGGTTTTTCATTTTACCATTTCAGCTTACTTGTTTCAACCAGCGGATAGATAATAACAAGAAAAAAAAACTTAGTCTCTTAAAAACCAGAACTTCACTTTAGATTTGCAGATTTACGTTGCATGTTGACAATTCACCGAGCAAAGTTTCACACACATTGCACTTTAGTCCAAGGGACTTTCATCAATCATGGAAAACATATTTGTTGACTTCTTGTAGAAAAAAATATCCTGTGGGTTCCTTGTCCTTACTAGAAGAGCTTTGCCTTCTCTTTTACAGCATTAACTCAAGTGTAAGCTAGTGGGCTCAACCAATTAATGTTCTTTTATGACTGTGACATCCTAGTGTCTTCTGATTTATTTTGTATAAATAACCAACAGGCATGTGATTGGTCTGGTTAAAGTCACGAGAGTGAAAGATCCAATAACAGAATGATTTGTGATCACGTGTCTTTGCAAACTGTCAATGTCTTGCCTGCTGCTCTATATGTAGGCAGTTTAGCATTGAGAACAGCTGTGGCCTAAAGAATAATGCTTTGATACCATTTTAAAACAATAAGTGACCATAAAATATGTATTCTATAATTTTTTGGCTACATGCTTTTTGATTGTTGAGGATTTTTATATTATTTGGCCCACATAGTTTAAATTTCGTTCACTGAAAGATTGGAAATATTTAAATAAACATAATATTACAAAAACGCTCAAACATAGGAATGTTGCTTTAACTGTATTTAACCATGTCTTTGTGCAGTTAATGATGGTGGGCTGTGATTATATTGTGTGATTTGCTCTGGGCATGATATGCTAATTTTTTTGTTCTTTGTTGCTGCATTCAAGTACAAACAGGAGAACAACATTTTAGGACTAAAAATAAGTGATGCAGCAGTTATTGTTTATGGGTGATTTCTATGTTACTAAATTGTGTTGTTCTTCTTGTGGGCAAGGTGGCACAAGGCTGCATGGTGTAAATTCTGTGCATTTGTTATTGTTCAATATATCAAAGTTATTATGTGAGATGATGTTAAATCTGAAGTTTATTGTGACCAAAGTGATTCAAGGGAATTGTATGACACAGTTGCCAGCAGTGGGCTCATAAAGATGGGTAAAACTTGAACAAACTGTTATGGAAAGAGCTAAATATTACAAACTTTAAGGTTATGTAGGAGAATACTCGGAAAAATAAATAAGTATAAAGAACACGGCATTGCCTCTCAAAAGGTCAGCAAACGTTAGTAACGCATTATTTTTTTAGCTATATTTACTCCAAACAAAATTCCTTGTATTCTGCCTTCTTTAGATATTAATGCATGTGTCTATGAAGATATAGTCAAACTAAATAAATATATTTCTAAACAGAGTGACAGAGGTTAATAATTACTGTGTGAAGAACCAACAAGGAGTTGTACCATTGATAACAACTTTGTTTAACTTCTGGCACAAGGGTTAAAAACCAAATTGACAAACTCTGTAAGATTGAGATCACAGCAATGCTGATATTTAGAAGTTATTCAATGACATAAAGCATAAAATCTGACAAACTCTGTAATATTGTGAACTCTACAAATGTCCCTTTTACAATGAGGGGAAACTTTTAATTCAAATTCCTGTGTAAGTAAGGAGATATTGCCAGGAGTATGTTATATAAACACTGCAGAATTATTTTTTTTTTACATTTTCTCATGCACTCTAAAGCAGTGACACAAAATTGGGTCTAACCTGTTCATAGGAAAGTTCTGCCATCTATCTTTTCACTCAAATGCTCACTTCAAAAAGGGTAACACATTAAAACTTTTTTTTATTCTGACTTGCTATTTGAAACACAATAATGCCACAGAACCAAGCAAGTTTAATGAGGTTTAGCTGGCAGAACAGATGTAAATTTTTTGGTATGTTTTTGAGTGAACAGAGGCTAGCTTAAGCCAAACAGAGGGTATGTTTTCCTCTGTTGTTTTGGTTTATCAGTATCCTATTTTTTTGTTTATGCTTTTAAAGATGCACTGTAAAATAGTTCAATTAATTGTTTTAATTGTTGTATTACAAAACAGTAACAGAATAGTTCATGTTAAAAGTTGTTTTGAAAGAAATGATATCACTGTTCCTGATAAATTTGATGTGAAAAAAAAATAACAGGCCTCTGTTTTAATTCTTGGGTGGGCATATTTGTCTTACCTTTCATTTCATGAATAATTTTACTTTCTTTGTGTTATTTTTTTGGGTGTACATGTTTATTTGGAAGAAAGGAAAGGAAAGGAAATTTGTGGGGGTCATTGTGTTAAAGGTTTCATTCAAGCATCTTTGTGATGAACATGATTTTCCCTATGTGTTTTAGGCAGTAAAAGAACATTGATCTTTCTTACTTGGCTGAGCAGCTGAGTTTGTTGCAGCTGTAATCCTGGACCAGTCATGAATTGGAATACCCAATTACCTCCTGAGGAACCTGACCTTAACAAGCTTGATTGTGTGGTCCAGAGTTTACCACAAGAGATACAAGAAGCCTCAAACAGAGCGAGGAAGAAGCAAATGAACCCTTCAGTGACCTTCTATTTCTCTGATGGTGCTTGGACTATGAGAGATGTTGGCCCTGTAAAAAATGGTATCAACAAAGAATTATGTAATGGTATGTCCCACTATGAAAGAGATTGCATGACTCTGTTGGAGGTCATCCTTACAACAAAAGTTCATGTTCAGCCAAGTAAGTTAGGGGAGTTTTGTTCATTTTTTGAGAGATACGTCAAACCTCTTAGTCGAAAATATCGTGACAGTCTTCAAAGCTCCACAGAAAACAAAGTAGGGACAGTTACTTTAACAGTGGATCTGCTTCGTTTGCTACAGAATGCAATTTGTCGGGAATTTGATCACCTCATAACAGTAGCACAAGGTGCCTTTGCAGCTCCTGAACAAGATGTTTCCCTGATTTATGATCTGTTAAAGTTGAGTGAAGAAAACTTTCCCCTGGAGAAATGTCAGCAACTACGTTACAGATTGAAGGCAGAAATCTGTTTTGTGGAGCAGTCCGAGGAGTTCAGTGGTAACTCAATTGAGGTTAAATCTGAAGATGAAAATGAGACTTGTACACTCAACCTTCAGTGCGTTGGTGATGAACAGTTTGATGAATCTCTGGTATCAGTTGGCTCAATCTGGATCTGTCTAACTCCTAGCAATGCAAGAGCAATGCCAGATAACCCCCCAAGGAGGTCACCATCTGTGTCTGAAGAAGTGTCCATTGAATTGACAGAGAACAGTTATCGAGAGGAATATGCTAGTGCTAGGCCTTTGTCTGATAGTTCAACAAAGTTACAGGCTGACTCTGATGAGATGCCAAGTAGTAAAGGTTTACTGTCAAGGGAAGATCATTATGACACAGAAACTGTGGTTGTGGATTATGGCATTGATCATAGCTACCAAGAGTTCAAACAGAGTGAACAGTTAAATTGTACATGCCTATGTTGTCAAAAAAACAGTATTGTTGTTAGCCAATGGCAGAGATCCAATGACATAATCAATGCTGCTAACAGCCAGTTACAAGATGATATTGTTGCCTATCAGGATCGTTGTAGTAAACAAGAGGATGAAATAAGTCAATTGAAAGAGAAATTGACTCAAATGGAAGAATTGAAACAAAGACTTGAAGCTGAGGTGGGAAGACAGTTGTTCCTTGAAAGTAAAGAAAGACGTCGGAAGTTGCTGAATAAACATCCCCATGAGCAAAGTATGCTTGGTACAACCAGAGGAGCATCTTATGAAGGAGAACTACTTCATGATGCAGGTTCTATGGACAGATCAGGTAAAAAAATTGGTTGAAAGTTATAGAGGCCCCTAAACAAGTCTCTTAAGTTTTTACAAACAGTTGTTGGATGGATCAATACAATAAAATTATTTTGTTTATTGCTTGGATAATGGTATCTTTTAAATTCTTGATGGTCACTATATATGCATGGTATGACTCTTTTATGTCTGACTCTGCGCACTTCAAGAATTTGTATCTAGTTCTATCAAGATTACGAGCTGTGCAATATTGAAGGGTATGATCCATCAAATATGTTTGCTGTGTGCATTTGGTCAAAATGCATCAGTTGATGAAGATTCCCTACAGGGGGCAAAACTGGGGGATATGTCACCCAAGTGATTTTCCCCAATTTTCAAACCTCAAGCCCACTACGATAAGTCTGTGTTAAAATTTAGTTCAAGATGAGAGAAAGTTTTGCGGTGGTTACAGAAGAAGGGAAATATATTTTTATTCATTAAGTCATATCGGAGAACACTCAAAAGAAATGGAATGTTGGAATCTATCAGCTGTTTCAGTAAGAATGAATTCTTTTCATCTTGCAGAGCAAATTACAACTTGGTGCAATGAAAATGGTACTTTAACAGAGGTAGACAGTTTCTTTTGTCCAGAAGGAAATCAGGTGAATGAGGTGCCTGAGAGTTCCTATAATGAAGCTGATGAAATTTCTGATGAATCGGAAGAACACAGAGAGAGTAACGAAACTACTGAGATTGATGAACAGGCTCCAATTTGTAGCTGTTCCATTGGAAACACATTTTACAGTGATGGTGATGTGACTCTCTCTAATTTAAATGCAGATAATTTACCTGAATCAAGTTCTATTAGAGACATTAGTAATTCTAGGTTATCGACTGAGAGTTGTGGTTCAGTTTCTAGTTTGTCACAGTCATCAACCAATTCTGCCAATAATTTGCAGCCATCAACAGGAGATTCAAATTTATGTTCAATTACCACACCTCTGAATTTTGATCAAGCTGTGAAGGCTTGGGAGAGTAGTGGAGAGGACAACCAAGAGAGGTATTTGTTATCATTCCTGGAAAATAGACAATTTGAAAATGAAGAGATGAAAGGAGGGTGTGCTGCAAAGGGTGAAAGAGAAAGGGAAGACCTAGATAGCTATAATAGTTTTTGTGATGGTGATCTTGTGGATGGTTCTGTCAGCATTCCCAATAGAACTCAAAGTAGTTTAAAGCTAGTAGAGGTAGATGTAGCTAGTGTAAATCAAGGTCCTTTTGCACATAAAGATACAACTCAGAAGCAAAATCTCTCAGTTGTAAGGGTCACTGATCAAATAGACACAGGCATAGATCATTCTGATTGTCACACAAGCAATCAGTCAAGTAAATGGGAGCATCTAGGTGCTAGACCAAGAGACAGACCTTCTAAAGGAAACAGATCTTCAGAATGTAGTTCGCTTTGCTTCTCATCGCTTGACCCGGTTCCTCAACAAGTTGCAGGAGTGGCCAATGCATTCCTAGCAAGACACTCTGAAGACAAACATCTTCATAAGAGTCTGTATTACACTTACGCAGAGGAGATGTTGGCTAAAGATTTTTCTTCACAAGGCGCATGCAATTCTCATGTAGAGGGTGACTTTCAAGTTACTTCAAGGCCAGATCCACCATATTACTCACCTTATTCTTCAGTATTTCCTTTGACTGGGGGAGCATCTATTAGAGGAAATGGTGAAGATGGCAACCCATATCACAACACACTTAATGGTAATTCTGTACTTCTACCTGGACCCTTGTATAGCTATATTGGAGGTAATACCAACACAAACAGTAACTTCAACTCATTTGATCCTAATTTTTTAGCATCTGACATAAAAGAGCCTCGACTTCTCCAACATGACCAATTTTCATCTTTGTGTAGTAGTGATATTCTACAGTCAGGGTTCACTGGTTCAAGATTGACCCCTGACTTTCTGGGAACTACAGGACCTCAAATGACACATTCTGTAATTGGTATACAGAGTAACATTGGCTTCACTAGAACATCAGCTTTACCTCTGGAGCCTTTGCAAATGCAAACACCATCAACCTCAAATTTAGGATTATTGGCTACTTCAACAAGTAATACTCAAAGTTATAGTCACCAACCAAATGCTTCAACAGATTTTCAAACTTTATCTTCAGTGGCAATGGCTAATCAATCAGACAGCAGACTTTTATTAGAGTTGGAATTTGGTGGGAATACCCATTTGTCACCAGTCTCTTCATCTTCAATTAGGGATGTTGTGGACATATCTGGACGTAGGAACTCAAGCAGCATATTGAACACAATAGGTGATCATTTGGCCTCTGGAACCTATAGAGAAGGGAACAGTGCTGGTAATTCTTCAAGCTCTTGCATAACATCTGGTGCTAATATGGGAGGAGATCATGATGAAAATTCTGCCCAGTCTGGAGGTTCAATACCAAATGAAAACTATGGCACAGAATCAGTGGAGTCCACTGACAACTCCTTGCTTGAGTTGGAACAGCGTGTGGAGGAAGCATGTGCTATGGTAGAAAGAGTGCTTAGAGAAAGAGAAGAAAGAGAAGAGTTTGGCCGAGAAATTGAAAGAAAAGAGCGTGAAATTCGAGCAGAAAGAGCACGAAAGAAGAGAGAAAGAGAAGCAAGGGAGCTAGAGGAAGCCAGAGGATGGCCTCAACAGCAGGAACCAGTTACTGGACAGTCTTTGTGGCTTTGTGAGCATTACCAACGTCATTGTAGAGTACGTTTCCCTTGCTGTAACAACTTCTATTCATGCCACCGTTGCCATAACAACTCCAAAGAATGTGACAATGAGGAAGCTAAAGCAAGTCATGCAACTCATCTTAAATGCAGCTATTGTCATCATGAACAAGAGGTAAATGAAGAATTCAACATTTTAAATCATGATTATTGATCTTCAAATTTGTTTTTGTTAATAACTCTCCTATTGAATAAGCACCCTTATTTTATTAACTGCTCCTATTCCATTAAGTGCCCCTATAGCTATTCCATTTCAGTAATAGCACTGTTAAAATACATGTACATTGAGATCATTGGTGGTCTTTCTTCCTTAAATTGCTCATGTAAAGCCTCAAGACAAAAGTGTAGTCTTAAGTCAGTGTCTCAACTATTGCATTCCTAAGAGTGCACAGTTCCTTCAAACAAAAAAGTCCTGTCTTAACATTATGCAGCTATCGCTTGGCTAGTTGTTCTAGGTAGGAAGAATCCAGGGACAACTAGTCCATTTTTCAGTCTTTTTTTATCCTCACTCAAACAAACACAAAAGTTTTGTTTCATATTCTGCTGTTTCTCAATAAAAAAATAAGCACCCTGTCCCTATTGATTGCCCTGTTTCCAACAAGCACCCTCCCTTGAGGTACTGAAAGTAAATAGGTGCCCTGGGCGTTAAATCAAATCATTATGGTAGCTTCATTTTTCTTTAACTGTTGTGAAAATTTTACTTCAGACCACGTAATTATGCTCTCTTTAGTTCCTAACTATCAAATAATAAAGACATTAATGTTTGCTACATGCTTATGTCTGCCAACAAGAGGTTGCCAAATTTGCAACTTTGGTGACAAATTTTGTGGCCAAAATGTTTTCACTTGCCATGATGTTTTACTTTCTATCGCAACCAAAATGGCTGTATCTTGGAGTGTCTGCTCTTAGTAATTTCCCAAGGAGGTAATTTGTGTTACAAACTCATCATTCCAACTAATGTGGTAAGTAATACTGACTGTACAATTTGGCTTTTAAGTTGAGACCTAATGATTTTCCCAATCACGAAAAACAAAAATGTTTTCTTCTCTTTGCAGATTGCTGAAGATAGTGCCAAATGTCGTAGCTGTGGAGCAAAGATGTCAGCTTATTTTTGTGGAATCTGCAAGCACTTCACAAGTATAGACAAAAACCCTTATCACTGTGATAAATGTGGGATATGTAGGTAAGTTCTCTACATGTCATAATTTTGAAGAAACCTTTTTTCCATCATGATGGCCACAACTAATCACCCCAAACTTATCTCACTGTGAAAGTTCATTTTGAAATGGATATGTTAGCTGAGATTAACTACTGCCTCCATTTCCCTATGTTCAGATAGCCCCAGATGGAATGTTCCCCCACTGACTGTGAAATCCCTGCAACTTACATGTTGGGGTAATCTTTGAAATATGTGATACCAATTGGTTAGGCCTGAAAGACAATAATCATGAAAACTGCTCTTAAACACCAAGGTCTAAATGAAATGTAGTCATGATGTTCCACATGGGCCTGCACTTTTGACAATGGCTGCAGACTTAGTATGCTTGCTAAGCTGTTAGCAGTTAACCTTGTTAGCATAATTGTTTCTTCAATTTAGATGTATTGGGTGAAGATTATACTTAATCTTCTCTTACTTTTTGTGTATCTAGCTTTCTAGAACTTATGAAGTCAGTCACTGTAGGAAATATTTATTGATTTGCTTTTTGTTTTTTTAGAATACACAAAGACAAGTCATTCCATTGTGATGTATGTAATGTGTGTCTTGACAAACGGCTGCAAGGGAAACACAAATGCAGACCAGACTCTGGTCATGATGAATGTTGCATCTGTCTTGAGGTGAGCTGTTAATCTACAAGTACATGTACATGTTTCTGTGTGAGTTTTCTTAATGTTCTGTTAGTTGTAAATCTCATTTTGCATACCTATTGAACTGTTCAAAACTTAAAAAATACAAGTTGTACAAAGCAACTGCCTTGCCTTTCATGTCATTGTTATTACATTATGAACTTTTTTTAGTTGAAATGATTATTCTCTCATTTTTGTTGTTTGTTATTTTTTTTGTGTGTAGGATGCATTTAGTGGGTGTCAAATTTTACCCTGCTCACACAAAGTCCATCGGGAATGTGCAATAGCAATGATACAGAATGGGATGTAAGTAGTTATTTTATTTTGGAGTCCCTCTTGTGAAGATGCTTTGTTGTGATTTATGTCTTCTAAGATTAGGAAAAGCAATGTCAATTGAAAGTGACTTTGGATTAGAATTAAAGCTGTGTGTGATGTTTTACTTCATGTTCCTCATAGCATTATATTACATTGTTCTGTAATAACGTTTTGAACTTGAGTAATCATTGAGTTCTTTTTGTTTACATTTTAGTCGCACCTGTCCAGTCTGTCGACACCCTTTATACAGCCCAGCTCCTCAATGAGAACCTCTTTTGAAGCACTGTCTGAGAATGGAGGCAAAGCAAGATGTTTTCAAAATGCTTCCAGTTGACTTCTGCAATGATGTTGATTTTGAAAATTACTATTTGAAGCAAATCACAAGCAAAGTGGCAAACTCCAGTTTTCTCAAGAACGTTATCAGGAAATCACAGCCCAATGAAGCCTGTCCAATGAAAGAGCGAAGTAAGCCTTGACTGCAGCAGGATACTTATTATACCTTAAAGTACCATGAAGTCAATCTCTTTCAAGTTGCTCAAATTTAAAATTGTGATTTTGTCTGTGGGAGTGCATATATTTGTTAGCTTGAAAAGTAGTGTCCATCACTTCTTGGCACACAAGTTAATTCTGTGGCTGTGATTTTCCCAAATGAGACTTGAATTAATCAGAAGAGTAATTATTATTCTTATTTTGTGTTTTAGTCTTACAAGCCCAGTGTGTGCATTAAAGAGTCTCAAGTCTCTTAAGTGAAAATTTGGTTGAAAAATGGGTCACAATTTGGGTTAATCAGTTATACCTGGACCTATAGCTGGATCTGGAATAAGCCAAAGTTGAAATTTTACTCAAATTGTTCACTCAGAATATGATTACATGCAAGCTTCCATCTTGATTTGATAAAGAATACTGTGAGGGATTTATGACTTGATAATTCATCACATTGATTCAAGGAATGTGTTTAGAAAGGTTTCAAGTTTACAAAGTTTTGGGTTGCAATCAGACAGCATTCAAAGTTGAGGTTAGTTACATGTGTAAACTATATCCGGTCTGTCAGAGTTTATTGTTTGTGTTTGGCTAATTTGCATTTTTGGGAGAAAATAATATTTTTAAAAACCAGAAAAACACAAAAAAATTTGGAACGAAAGAGACCATTCTTATTGATGTTACTGAATCCGATATTTTTCCTGGTGCAAATGACATTTATGTAAGAAGATAGTTATTCAAAAATCATGTACAATTTTTTTTCTTTTCATCAGTTTGGTTCATTAAAGTGGAGAAGAAATTGAATTAAGTTGTTGTTTCGGCAGTTTATGGTTATTTGTTAATCGTTGGCTCAATAATGTAACTATTTCTTCGTTACTATTTGAAATAACTTAAACCAATTTATCATAAATTGATTCAAGTTTCTTTCACTTGACATCAATTTTTCGTGACGAAATGGTCCCCCAATAGTATTCATCACACCATTATTTTTCCCAATATGTTACAGAAAATCATTTCTGACCAATGCGGATTTTTGCGTGAATTTTGCGGACAAGATCCTTATGCTAAGTCTTTAGGTGCAGTGTGCCTGATGTGTTGCGCACTCTCCACCCTCCCCCCCTCCCCCCACATACGGCTTATTTTCGTAGTCTGCACGTCCGCCATTATTGTTTGGAGACTATGTCTGAAGAAAAGGAAGCAACTTTCAGAGCAATCGACGATGACTTACAAAAGGAATATAGTGACGGTGAGCCTGTTAAAACCTTTTTCTTTGTGATTACACAAGTAAAAGCTATCAGGAAATAATTTTTTATTTGATCGTTTGACAGCAACTCCGTCTGGAACTGAAGATGTCGAACGCAAAGACGATGTAATGTCTTTCATCGGTCAGGTAAGAGTCAAGGTCGTATCACAATATTACACACCGAATATTCGTATCGCAATAATTTGCCTGTATTTCAATCACCTGTATTGGAGTTGCACTTGTGAAATTAAGGAAAACAATCTGAAGCTAAGAAATCTTTCTCTTTAACTGCTCCAATCGGGGGAAATTATAAGTCGGTCTTTTCTCTGTTTGATTTCTGATGGCATTTGACCGCCGTTTGAAGACTTCCTTGGTTCATTACTTTTTATGGTTTCACACCATATCGAATCTCGAAACATTTTAGATGCGATTGAAAAGAAAAGAAGAAAATTCAAAATACGTGCGATGGATTAATTGTCATCTACAATATTCGATGGCGGTGGCGGATCAATGGTAATCGTGAAGTAGCTGTATATTTTTATCAATAAAGTACATGCTAATATTGACACAGAATTGTGCACGCGGCTGAATTTCTTTGACCTTTAAACTCGACAAAGAAGCTTTCAAGTTTTCGAAAGTTAGATCAGACAACTTTTAAAAGACTGAAATGTATCACCTCAATGTCACGTTTTCGCCATCAAAAAGTTGAATAACATAGCGTGCGGGTTATCCACCAGTGCGGGTAATCTGTTGACTTTTTTTTTCGCCGTATGCAATAATCGGCCGGTGCGGTTAATCGGCCGCGCGGGTAAACGGCCGGAAATTACAGTAACATCAAAATCAACCACAACTTGGAATATATATGAACTTAATTTGTTTCTCCTTTGTTTTTATTAGATGGAAGATGAGTATTACTTTAGGCATGAATTTGATAGACTTTTGAATTTTTTTTTACAAGCTCATTTTCATTTGCGACACTAAACGAAACAAAATGGAAATCTGTAATTTGCAAAATAAAAATCTTAAATTTGCGAATGGTCACTGTTCAATTCACCCTAAGCATGCAGGCGTACTTTTGGCAAGACAGTGCTCAGTATTTACATACGCAACCTAGCAAATAATATCAACTAGTATCAACACTTGAACCCCCAACCTAAAATCCTCTCCAGATCTCTGTCCAATATCGAAGAATTTTGCCGTATTAAAGGAAAATGGCATGAGATCACAGTCATGTTTTCCCTCTGAGGAGGAATGTGTGAGGCTTCCAATTTTCTGTCGGTCACAGGAAGTGCATGTCACGCATTCAAAATATTTATCAATAGCTTACAAGGGAAGATTTCGCAAAGTAAACCTCTGGGATTTTCATTTTGCACTTTTGCTAGTTGTTATTTGCTAGGTTGTGTATCCGATTCATCCCTCTGACCGGTGGTCACGAAGTTTAGAGCTTTTCTTGTTTCAAATAACAGCATAATTACAAATTTTGGGTTCATTTTGTCTCATTTTGCAAATTACAATAAGCCATTTAACCCTGTACTATTCTTTGTTGGATGTCTTGTTTTCCCTCTATTTCATCTGACTTGTTTTCTTGATGTCACTGTACAATTCTTGTTTGCTGTTTGCTTTTCGGTCAAATTAATTTTCATGCATTTATAAATTTTTCCTTTTTTTCATTTATTATTCACGCAATCTTGTTTAAGTTGGTAAATCTAAGCTTATATTATATGAAAAATAATACAGCTCTTGAGGTAGCCTCTTTCAAAAACATAAAAATGTAAATCCTTTATGTTAAAAAAACAGAATGCAGATTTGGAGGATGTTGATTCGTCATTTGAGGAATCAAGCACCCCAAGTAGTGAGACTGACTCAGAGCATGAAGAACAGCTTGGAATGTCTCTGAAAAATCTTCCTGGCAATCTGATGAGCTCTCAGCAAGGTCATTTTGAGCAGGTTGCACAATCAACAAAGAATTATCCAGATTCTGTTGAGGCAATTCAAGCACTAAAAACCCAGTTAGGAGGGAAACATTTCATCAGGACAAAAAAACAGCGTGTTGGCGAGATACATCGGTTATCCTTGGAAATAAGCAGGAAGTTGCAAAGTACAGGTAAGCTTAGCTTGTCCTTAAAACATTTTATCTACTTAACAAATAGATTCCAAGTTGCCATGCATCTGTTCAGTAATAGATCACAGATGACGTCAAAATTTGTTGAGAACAAAAAAGTGGCACACGAGGCGCAGCTGAGTGGGTCACTGATGTTCTTACCACATTTTGATGTCCTCTGTGATCTATTACTGAACAGACACACGGCAACTTGGAATCTATTTGTTTTATATAATTATAAAGAATTGTAAAAGTTTTAATGATGATGTCATCTATACATCTGTCCTCCAATAGATCACAAGTGAGAACCAATCAGAATGGGTGCATAACTGAGCTTATTATATAAATGCATTTAGATTATTCTTATTTATGTTTCTTAACCCTTTGAATACCACAACAATTGTTACCATTTGTAACTGGCAGTCATCTTGGATTTTTGGACAAAACAGCTTCATCTTCTGCATAGTTGAATAACTCTTGAAATTACAAAATAAATTTTTAAAATGTGCTCAGAAATGTGGAATGTAGTAGTATGTATCAGGTTAATGATCTGGTGAAACTGACTGGGCCTGTAACACTGCTTCCAGTGTATTTCTATGTGGGAGAACTCTCTCTGAACTCTGACAGCATTACTTCCTCTTCCTCTTCCTCTAGTGGGTGCCATATTGCCACTCACAACACTATGCTTGCATCCTCATCTTCTTGGTGGCTTTCACCACTTCCCTCTGTACTGTGATTGTCAATTTTATCTTACTCTTACAAGTTATTGCCACTGTATTCAGACAAACTTTTATTTGCTATTTCCTTTAAAATGCAAATCATTGACAGGGTAAATCGCTGTAAAGCCTTCTTGACTCTGTAAACACATGCACATGAAGCCATAATTAAATTCTAGGAGAAAAACTTGCAACTATCCTCATGTAATGTAGTCATGAAATTTGTTTGCAGTCTGTAATCATGGTCAGCATAATTACTGGTCTCCCCATCCCTCTCTAGTGAACCAGAGAAATCTTCCAACCAAAGTAAATATATTCTGTGGAGAAGGTGATGTGGTGTCAGAAATCACATAGGACTAATTTATGCATCTCCTTCAGTTATTTTTGTTTTATGCGCATGTCTCAAAATATTTCAGATGTTCACCATCAGTTGTGCATTGTTTATGTGAAATATGAATTTGATTGAGGGAGTTGATGGGTAACATTTTTTTCTGACTTACACACATAGGTATAATGAACAAAGTAGAAGAATGTTTTGTGGAAGGATCACAGTGATCAGTTGATGTTACTGTATTCCACTTTTATTTTTGCATGGTTCATAGGTGTGAATGGTACCAATTCAAGCTGTGCAAATGGATGGGAGCATACTGGCACTAAACCCAAATCAACTGTCCCAGGAGCCCCCTCAAGTTCAGTGCTTGATAACAAGGTTTTGGTTGGAAATGGATGGGAGCATACTGGTGCTAAACCCAAATCAACTGTCCCAGGAGCCCCCTCAAGTTCAGTGCTTGATAACAAGGTTTTGGCTGGGCAATCCCACGTTAAAGACATACATGAACAGCTAGGCAGTGGAGGAGGGCCATCTATTGGGTTTTCCTTACATGGAGCTTCTAACGGGGGACTCTCGAGGGATGAGACAGGCATGTTGAGATGTGCTCTACCATCACCAGAACATGGAGGACAGCAAACAATGGCTCATGGGCCACAACAGTTCCAAGAGACTCCTAAACTGAGCTTGGAGGCAGGTAAGCATCACTTCTTCTAGAAACATTTTACCCACTCAGATTAGCATTTATTTATAAATTATTCAGTATTAAATAATTGGCCAAATAAATCAAATGCTGTAAACACTTGCAGAGAGGCAGAGCCTTTTTTCCCAAAACAAATCAGAGACATGACTTTTCTTGGTGAAGAAAATGTATAAGGTTAGAAATTGATCATTGCTTGTGCAAGTTTGGTGGCTATTTTAAGTCTTTTGTTCATAATCATAAGTAAAAGTTCCTTGCTATGGAGAGACAATAAACCTTCTTTGTTAGGAGAGTTTTCAACCACTTTAAGGTTGCCTCAGCTCCCTTGAACTGCTAAACATTATTTGACAAGGAATCTTGGGGTGTATTGCATTGAAAATTTAGACTGCTTCAAAAACTAGTAGTACCAGTATCCTTTCTCCTGATCAAATGCCTGGCTACCAAGCTATGAATGAACCAAAGAATGATAGCAAGATTTCCTGTTGGTTTATGTAAAACTATATTGAAAATCTAACTGGAATGAAAGAATACACAGGTTGATCAATACCAGAGTTAGATATATTATGATAAATGTTAGATGATAATCTTTGAGCAAAGTAGGTGCTTGCAAAAATATTAACCTGCATGGTTGTGTTTTTCTGAGATCAGCAATCTGGAATCAAATAAATGCCTTTCTTTTCATCTTCAGAGGAGACACTGAAGTATAAAACTTTTAGCATTTGATATTTTTTTCATCTTTAATTTTCATTTTCATCAGCAAAACTCAGAATACAGCAAGTACTAGAAGTAGTTCAAATGGTTCTTTTTGTGTCCAGATAAATCAGCCAATAGGGAAAAAACGAACCTAACTGCAGGAAGCTCTCATGGGGATAATTGAAGAAGTGCATGGAAAAGAAGCCCTTAATGGCATTTGATAGACTGCTAGTTTCTCTCTTACAATTGTCTTGTATTTCCATGTGATGCTCAGGTATAAATTGATATTCCATCAAAAGCCACCCAAGACAGTATTCTTTGCACCTCTTTCAAATAGTTTTTGGTGTTAAAATATTACAGGTGTTCATCACTAGTTTTGTGATTTAAACAGTAATTGTTAATTATATAGGATAAGAAATTCAGTGTTTGTGTTGGTAGTCCTATGACCAACCAAGGTAGTTGTCTTGAAATGAATGGGAAAGATAATTGTAACATGTGGGTGAATTTGTTTAAGTATCAAAGTGATTGGCTGGTTTTGTTATATCCCTCTTAAATTTTTTGGTTCTCTCACTTTGCAGAGTATGTAGACATGGAAAGCATGTCCAGTGGTGCAAATGAGTGGAATGGACTGCCCCATAAAACACCAGCATGCGGAATTAACCCTGCGTTTTTGGCCCGACACTCAACAGACCCTCTCCTTGGAGGTTATACAGCAAGCAATGCTGAAGCAAGCAATAGTCAAAGTCGCGTAATTCAACTGGAACAGAATGAAGTGCACTGTATACAACATAATATGCCATCTGAGCAAGATGACATAGTCAGGTGGTCATCTGTAAACATAGAAAGAGAAAGAATTGCAAGGAGATGGTGTTCTTGTTACAGAGTAAGTGGGTTAATTAAAAGAGTGTGCCAGGCTGTGACCATTTTGGTCTCCATGCATTGCAAGTAGAAACATTTTTGGCTGCTTAATTTGCTGTAAGAATGTGTTCAGCAGTTCAGCAGATGCAGAAATCAAGTTAAACTGTGATAATGCTGCTTTCTCCTCGACTATCTGTGAGAAAAAAATTTGAGGTGTGGCATAAACATCCAAAGACCATTACAAAGAAAATATATATCAGAATGTTCAAATGTTTAAATATTCACTTGTAGTACACAGATGTCATGTAATGTTGCAGTAAGCCTTTTAGGATTTTTTTTCATTTTGTTTTCTGGGAACCATTTTAAAACTTTAATTTGCCAAGGAGCCCTACAAAAGATTTTGTTTTTAGTTTTGTTTTTCTTTTACAGATAGTTTTATGAGGAGGGGGAAATTACTAATATTTTTAATAAATTTTTTTAATTCTCTTGTTTTTGTCAACAGGATGATCCAGATTCTATGCCCATTTGTGAAGTGTGTTATAGGCACCGTTACTGGTGAGTATTTTAATGAGTCAGTTTACAGAGTGTGAGCAAAAGTTGTTAAAAATTTTTTAAAAGTTTGGCCTCTTTAAGTATTTTACTGTAAGCACTGGCATATGAGCTGCATTCATAGGGCTTGGCTGCATACCATTTTGGAAAAATGTTTTTGAAAAGAAATTGAAAGAATCCCAAGTGGAATCTTAAGAAGGTACTTTACTTTGATTGCTTCATCAAAGGTACATGTAGATGCACACAAAGTTGAAACAGTACCATTAATAACATTAAAAACAGAGATTACTTTGAATCCTTACCTATAATTGCTGGGTTGCTCACAGCTTAATAGCCAGGCACAAGATCAGGAGAAAGAGTACTGGATGTAAGTTGCTTTTGAAGCTTCAATTTCCTTTGCAGTACATGGCAAGGTTTCTTGTCAAGTAACATTTAGCTGCTGAAGGAAGCTAAGGCAACTTTTGACCAATGAGAAGGTCCCTTAACAAATTACTCAACAAAAATATAAGCTTATGCTTACAAACAAAAACAGCTGCTCTAGGGGCCACCAAACTGGCAAAAGCATTGATAAATTTCTATCCCTGTTTTTTTTTTATGAAGTCCTTATAAGTTTGCTATACAGACTCAGAAATTTTTTATGAATTGGTTTAATTTATGCAAATTTGTGGAATGTTTTCCAGATGTTCTTGGAGACAAGCTCCACACCTGATTTGTTACAAAAATTTTAGGGAAAAGGTGTGGCTTATATGCCAGTGTGACAGTATTAATTTGTTAATTTACGTTTTTAATTTTTTGCTTGGGTAAAAACTTATTTCCACTTAATCTTAACATGTTTACCAAAATTATGTCAGAAATCCTCTAAGCATTGTGGCAACTGATGTGGAACTTTTAGCTATCAAAGTCATAAAACAGACAGTGTGGCATATGCCTTGTAATGTAATGTGCAGTTTAGAAAAGAGCTGTTTAGTAGTTGTTGATTTCCTTCAATGTGAATTTTGTTTTGTTTGTTAACACAGTGGACCTGGATATCATCCCCTAATGAACCGTGTGGATTTATGTTGCCACTGCTTTGAGGTATTGTATTTTTGCCAAAAAATTACAAATGTAGTGATCTACCCCTTTAGTACAAATGTCTTTTGTTCCCCAGCCTTCTGCAGCCATTCAAATCAAAGATCGCAGCCATAGTTTTTTGTTACGAAAATACTGAGTACTTGCTTTCCAAAGTTATACCTGAGCATAGAAGGACCTCTAAACAGGAGCAACTTTCTCTCATTAAAATGATTGACGCAGCTCCAGTTGTTTCCAACAGATGTTTGTTAGTGTTTGCATGAAGGAAAAGGAGGGCTCACTGTGGGCTGTTTCTGTCATTAACCCTTTAGACCTTATAATCAGTATGCTAATAATTTTTTTTAAGGCAAGGTCCTTACCTGACCAAGAAAAGCTGGCAACTACAAAATTGCTGCTTACATTCTTTGAAACTAACAACATTAGAGTAAAGATCAAACTGCTATCAGTTGCCTATATATACCTTGCATTTTTTTTTGTGTTGCTCAAGACTTGTTAAAACCCCCGACAAGCATAGTTTGTCTAACAATTAATCATACTGTAAATGTCCATGTATAAGCCACATCCATAGATAAGCCGCACCCCCAATTTGGAAGTGCAGAATTTGGGAAAAAAAAAAAATACAGTTTGAAGTTTCAGTAGAGTTGTATTGCTACAAACAATCAAGGTTTCGAAACACCGACGTAGAAGTTGTGGCTATCTTTCACATTTATCAAGTCTAAAGAAAGCGAAACAGAAAAGAAAACAAACAAGTGCTTAGTAGCCAAGCTTTAAATGTTGGGAGGAGTCTGGGCTAGGGCCTGGCCATCGTCAACTCAGCTGTTTGGGGATACCACATGTATAAAGATGTTTGGAAACCGCAGTAGGCTAAAAATTTCATGAAGAACAGGAGCCTGATAATGCAGTCGATAAATTTGCCATGAAGGCAGTGAAAAACAACGACAGATTCCTTGTATGTTGGTGTTTAGTTGTTTGATTAAAGCGAAAATTAATCGCTTGAAAGAACTCTTGGAGAGCAAGATTCACTGATAAACACTTGAAGACACAAACAGCTCCTTTAGGAGCCACCACTCAATGAAAAAGTCAATGAACTACAGCAACCCGCTCTCAGTTTCTTTTATGTTTATTTCTTGGCATCTTAAGAAGTTTTATGAATATTAATTAGGTTTTTGAGAACTCCAAACACAGATGTATCCATGGATAAGCCACACCCTTGATTTTTGGCTTCAATTTTGTGAAAAAAAGTGCAGCTTATACATGGATGTTTACAGTAATCCTTTTCAGTTGGAGTCAATCCTCTTATCCTCAAGACTTCAATGTTCGATTCAGTAGAGGTATTGTGAAGGTAAATGAAAAGTTAGTGTTAAAGTTTTGTATATCTGCACTTATCTTTAGGAAGTCATTGGACAGTGTATTATGTTGCCTTGCGGGCATAAGGCACACAAGGACTGTGTAATTGCAGCAATTTGCTTCAACATGTAAGTGAACATTTCAAAAGAAAAAAGCATCATTTTGCCCTCTGTCTAAATTATGGCCCTCCTCCTTATAAATACGTTCTCTTCTAGGCATGATTTTGTTTCTTTTCTTTACTTAATCTTGTCACCTGACACCACTTCTAGTGGAATTCCATCAAAGCAGTTGTACTATATAGAATGCTCTGCATATATGTTGCTCTAACCAATAATGAATATTTTAGGTTACAAAAAGTATATGCTGATGTACAAGAGGTGTAGCTACTCATCCAATAAGCCATTGGATTGTACTGAACTGTACTTTAGCTGAACCCAGATTCCACAGGGACCTTACCTTTTTTTCTGGTTGGGATAATTATGCAACTTTACCTCTAAATAGTTCCTACAAAGTGGGTACCTTTAGATTTCTTGGATAACTTCCTTCAGTTGAACCCTGTCACTTGTCAATTCATTTAAAAGAATAGCTCTGGTTGGGCTTAGGGAAACAGGAGTTTGAGATGCTAGGGGGTTCATGACTTCTCATTCAACAGTTGCAAGGAGAGGCTATATGAGTACACAGATTTCATTCTTTGGCCTTTTCTTTTACCCCTGGAAAAATCAAGAATTTAAGCTCTTGCTTCCTGCAGGCCACAGTTTTTCGAAGGTTGGATAACTCCATCCACTAGATAAAACCCCATAAGGAGGATAATGCTAAAATCAGTTTTGCTATCAGTTATCTGCAGGATAGTAATTTATCCGTTGGATAGCATTGTTTGACCTTTATACAACTGGGCCCAGATGTTTAGCATGAGCTGAGTTATAGCCCTGTGTGAGGACACATACATAACATAAAACTGCATATTCCTTGAGTACATGAATATCGCAAACCTAAATAAACTTCAAATTTAGTGAGCTATCACTAGTTTTTACTCTTTTATATCAACTTGATATTGAAAATCAATGATTGCTGTTAGCCTTAACTGATGCACCAACTGGGGTAAACCATTAGCTTTGCCTTCAAAGGGAGTTCATCTTTGACACTTGTAGTTACATTTTCAAGAAAATTTTTATCTCTTTCAGGTTAAATTGCTCAATATGTGGGAAAGATTTCTTGCGTTTGGCTTAAGGAAGCTGTCACACCTGTGAAAAGATACTTTGTAACCATGTTTTATTATCTTAAAAGATATTTGTGGTCATGCTTAAACCTGTAACCGTGTTGGGTTATTTTAATATCTTAAAAAATATTCTTGGTCATGCGTAAACCAAGGTTGCCAGGTTGTCAGTCCAACTAATATTAATATTCAGTAGAGCATCACTTAGCTAAGTGGGGCATGCTTTATTTCACTTCCAAATGCAGATTTCTCAAGAGGTTTTGTTTTGCTGGCGGTACATTATAATCCCTCCAAAATGAGGTGAACTTTTATAATCTATTAAGGTGGAGGGAATTAATTAATTTTTTCAGAGAAATATTCTATATTGTCCATGAATTACTACTTTTTCTATTTAAAAATTTGATCACCATGGGTGTAATTGGAATAAGCATTTTAAATATTATTGAAAACTGGTAGTGTATCAAGTAAAATTTTGATGAATTTGAAAAAAATATTTGTAACAGAGTTTTTCTTCCAAGGGAAGTGTTTTAGAAGTATAAAATTTTGGTACTATAAAATTTATCCTTTTCAATACAAAGGAAACAATTTTATTTATGGTACTGGTTCAGTTTTGTTGTAGATTTTATAAAGTATAAATCTTATTTTATTGTTAGTCTGTAACAGACTTATATAGCAGTTAAGTTCACTTTCCATTAAATGGATGAACGTTAATAAGTATAAAATATATGTTTGAACTAAATAATATATTTTGGTAAACTAAAGAAATTAAAGATAACAAATTATTCAAAGTGCGCGTTAAGTTCAATGTTCTTAATTATGTTTTGAGGGTCTTGACTGAATTTCCCTCCAAGAATGATTCATTGGCAATCTCAGGAAGAACATGAGGAAATAATTTTTCTTTTTTGATTTGCAAGTGAAAAAGATACTGTTGAATACCTAAATGAGCTAAGTTATCAAAAAATTATGTTGCATCCGAAAAATTTGTGCTTCCAACCTGCCATCCAGTGATGAGATCCTGTTGGGATGAAAGCTGTTTCAAACCATTCTTTGCTTTCTACTTTCCTATTTGCCATACAGATACAGGTTCCAAACTCAATGGAAGGTCTTTCACACGAAACTAACATCAGTAACTTAGCTTCATTTGGAAAATAGCACTTCCAGAAGATGTATTAAACTTTACAAAAATTTTTACCATCCGAGTTCCTTTATTCCAGTGGAATATGGATTTCCACCACTGGAATCATCAGTATACGGGAAATATTTGAGGATGAAATTTCAATGTTTTTGTGGAAATGGATCATGAGGCTACAGTGATGAATTGTTCTTTTCTCCCAACCCACTCCATCAAAACCTCACTGGCTTAGGGTAAAATATGGACTGGACTATTTTTATATTTAGGACCTTTTTTTGGACAAAAAAATGGTCCAAAAATAGTCCAGTCCATATTTTACCCCATGCTCCAAATTCGTTTTATTCCTTCGTTTCAACATGGCGGACAATGATGACTCGCTCCAGGATTTAAAAAGTGATCCATCGCAACTTATTGAGAGAGGTGAGCAAGGAGATACGTTTTCCCTTCAGTTTGATGTTGGTGTGAGTTTTCACTGGACGGTAGAAGTGCCATTTGAAATATAATGGCCTAGTGTTCCCGAATCTCCCCAAGTAAATCTACCACTAGAGTAAACACCCTGTTTGAATAGTTTTACGTACCATTATTTAACAGAAACCCATGTTCTGGCAGAGTTCGATCGTGACTTCCACCCGGATGGGTCTCGTGATGATCAGGTAAATGAAGTTAGTTTCCAGTTTTGGTGTCGAATCTTGAAATGTTTCCCAGGTAGACGTAAATGTTGCCGCTACAAAACAAATTTGCCAGTTGCTCATTGGCCTCATTGCTCTGTTTAGCATTTGCAACTTGTGCGATTTCTCCTAGGCTAGAGTCAATAATTATAAATGTACCTCCTAAGACTAAATAAGCGTTTTACACTGCGGATGCCAATTATAGTGAAGGGAAACTTCATCAATGTTACAGGGCAAACAAATTCCTATTACGCCGCTAATGTGCGTCAATTATCGCTTTCACTTCAAAGTTTTGAACGGTTTCGCTTTCTCTACAGGATCGATGGCAATTAACGAGTTGTTGACAAAACCATAGACTACCTAAATGGAATATTTATTCTTCATAAGGGGTTTCCTGAAAGGGTACTTCAAAAACAAACTTCGCTTCCTGAATTTTTACCTCCTACGTGAATACTCTATATCAGTGGCGGCCATTTGTACAATAGTGTTTATCTATCTTCACAAAACAAACCCGCCCAATTACGACTTTTACTAGATTAACACTCAGGCTTAAATCCCTAGCGTTGTTCGTTTAGTTTTTGTTTACTCAGTCAGACAGTTATGGAAAACCTATCTTTAGCAGAACTTAGTCCAATTTTCTTATAATTTTTAAGAAAAACAAATCTTTATTTAAAATCTGAGCTACTGAAATTTTTGGTGCTGGTTTCAATCAGATTTGTTGGGGTATGTAAACAGTTTGCGGTTTTGTGTATGCGCTATTCAAACCATGGCACAGGTTTATTACATTTGCCAAATAGCTTTGATCTGCTTTCTGTGCGAAGGTTTTTTTGCATGGCAAGAAGTGATGTCTAAGCGTACCTTATATGGTGTATGTGTTTTTGTGATCATGGAAATGAAGAGCCTGTATGATTTTATGGGTTTTACAACCAAGTCTTCAAAGCTGTCACTTCACTTACAGTGTGGGTCCCCTGAGTAATAGTTAGGGTGAAAACTTGTTTTAAGTGTAGTGTGCCAATATGTTGTTAATATGATTCTGTATTTCAAAAAAATAATTTATGTCATGGTAAAAGATACAATGGTTTGTTTATGAAGTTTTATGAATGCCAAAACTAGTATAGGTGAGCTATGAAAATTTTTCTTTTCATTCTTAAACTGTGCCCGTCAATTATTATTTTTCATTTTGTCCTTTAATTAACATTTGATGTAGGGAATTGGTACATTACCAGCCAAAATTGGTCTGCTTGTCCAGGCTTGACATTATATTAGAAAGGTGCATTAAAGAGGTATTCCTCTGTCTTAAGGATGGCACATGGGTGAGAACACTTGCCTCTCACTACTTTGGCCTGGGTTTGATTCCTGGACATGTTGTTACATGAGGGTAGGGGTTGTTGGTTCTCCTTGCTGTGGTGGTGTTTCTTCAGGTCCTCCAGTTCCTTTGGTTTTCCTCCCTCCACAAATACCAATTTTATGCTACTGTGTGCAAACCATAGCTTTAATTCACATATACTTTAGCCTCGTGTGGTATTTTCAGTATTGTGAAGGATAGGGAGAGTCCATAGATTTGTGCTACTTGTAATTTTTTTAAAAATTAATGGCCCAATTTTGATGTTTTAAGGCAAGATTAGTATTGAATTTTGTCTGCCAAAGCAAGGCACAGGGAATACTTTGCAGAACATTTGTGAAAGTTTTCAGTGCAATTTTTTGTCTTCTACACTTTTTCCAGACTTGATTGCTATGGTCAAGTACGTATGTTTAATAGCTAGCTCTTAACCAGAATGGCACTCACAATAGGCCAGATCTTGTATATTTTGCTTTTCCTGAAGATTGTACTCAGCAAATTAAAAGAAGTGGGCTAGCCATTGAAGGCAAGCTGGCAAAAAAAATTAATAATCTGTTTATCTTTTGGATTTGTTTCTTGCATTTTATGGTAAAGGACATGAAAGTTTCTGTTTCTGATCATTCATCTGTTACTGGCTGCCTGACTTTATTTGATCTGATAGGCCCCAAAAAAAAGACCCAAAAAAAAAAAACAAGTGCCATAGAGCATTGATGTAAGAAGCATCAAAATGGGCAAACTGGACACCAACCTGCTGCAAAGAGAGGTGTTCTACAAACTTTAACCCAGAGAATACTTCAGATAACTTTAAGAGCCTGGACATAATTTATCTAAACAAAACTCGCCACAATCATCACTCATATGACAGTTGCCAGGATCGGGGCATACCCAAAAAAAGCATTAGAAGTGGTGGTGCTGGGGTCCTTTTTCTAACTTTCAAATTTTAAGGAGTGTCAAACTGATTTGACAGTTGATATAATGAATACTTAAGAAGTGCACTCAAAGAGAGCAAAGCAAGGCAAGATACTCTAGGAAAAACTTAAAACCACAAGGAGGCTCAGAAAAGAGAGCTCAACATTGAAGATCACCTTCTTAGGGATGACCAACCTGTGAACTTTGACACAGGTTTACAAAATTGTGCATGTTTTGATGTTACATTGAATCTAATTCTTCCTTACACAGAAAATGTTAAATAATGGAGCAAGATAAAAGAGGACAAATCCTACTACCAGGCTAATGTACCGTAGTTTCTTGGTTATAAGGTGCACTCACTTATGAGATGCACCGCAAACTTAGCAACTTCGTCAAGCCAAGTTCCCAAACTGAAAATACGTGAAAATACTCAGTTATAAGACGCACAAAAACGTTGAGAGTTAACAAAAGGATGTGATGGAATTGAAAACAATTATCCCTACACAACTGGCATGCAAACTCTTTTATTAACATAAATAAAAGTGACAAAGTCTCACATTTAATGATCTACTTAAAAACCAAGGCTAAAATTTCACACCTGTAATGAGAAACATAAAACGCATACTTGTATATTTCAGCTTAGGAAACATGCTTCTATTTACAAAATTAAATGATAAATATGCAATGATCCGATTTCATTCTACTATCCATCAACTGACTGTTTTAAAACTCCGTTGCAAAACAAACTGAAATGTTCTCATTGTAAACAGTCAGAGTTAAACTTCAATTTCTAGTTTGAATGCAAATATGCTAAGCACTCACCATTACTCATATGACCTCAACTTCAAGTTGAAAATTGTTGTCAAAGCTGAGGCAGTCAACAGTTATCATGAAATTGCCCATGAGTATGGCATTTCACAATCCATGGTGAGAAAATGATGCAACCAGAAACATGTCATTTTTTCTGGTCAGCTGCGGATGACAGCAAAGTGTGCATCCATGGAATGCTACCAACTGATGGACCTGAATTGGATATCATGTTACCGAGCACCTTCTGTTAAGCATGTATGCAAATTTTTGTTTGTTTACTTTTCTATAGAAGTTGATTAGTGTTGTAAAAGAAGTATTCCTTTTTAATTCATTGGAATGAAGGTTTGAATTTGACACAATCTTTGGATCACCTCAGACCAAAGAGCTCTGCTTTTTTCTCCTTTTTCTCTTGTCAATTAGTGTCCTTTTCTTGCCTTTATTTACTGTAAGTTCTTCTAAAATTGTGATCTTAAGATTTTGTTGCCCAAAAATACTTGGCTATAAGGAGCAACCCAATTTCAGAACTAACTTTCCAACCAAATACAGAATTCTCTTGAAAACACTGTGTGCCTTATAACGGAGAAACTAAGGTAACAAAACTGAAGCCCAGTAGGCTAAGGCAAATCACAGTGAATAAAGAATATCTCTTAGTTCTGTGTTGACCACAGGTAGGCTTACTGAACCAACATCAAGGAGACATCATTGGTGTCTCTGTGTCAACCTTTTGTAAGATTGTCGCAACATGGGTTTGTTTGCTAGCTAAACTGTTAGATGGTTCTTAACTCTGGTGGCCTTGGCATTAGAAGATCAATTGCCAACTCTCCAAATTGTTCAAGAAACACCCTGACACCAGGGTAATTATTGATGCAACAGAATTCTTTATTGAGAAGCCAACATCTCCTTGGCACAGAAAGCAATTTTGGATGATTACAATAAAAGCCACAAATCATTGAAAATTTTTAGTGGGTATTGCCCCTACTGGAGCTTTCATATTTGTTTCTAAATTGTGGTTTGGTAGTACCATGAGATTATTCGAGAAAGTGGCCCTATTGACCTTCTCAAGAAAGTAGATCACCCAATGGCATGCAGGTTTCAATTAAGAGACCTTCTGACAAGAAGTTGGAGGAAACTTAACATTCCCCCACTCTAAATTGGTATGATGGTTTGAACCTTATCACAGAAAGACATAATCAGAGAGGTTTCAGGATTATTTCCCTACCTACTCACCCCTTCTATATATTGAAAAGGGAGTCCTCATAGATTAAAACAGTTTTTCCAACAGTATCCCCTTCCCCTTTTTCATGAGTGGGCCTCATATACTCAGTCTGTCTCTGTTGTGGTCCAATTGAAATTCACATTTCCATTGTTTCAGTGAGAGACAATGCATGATAATTTTTCTGCATGCCACTTGCTCTGCCACCTCAACTGGTACTTTATTGTAGCCTCTTTAGGGCAGTATAACTGCAAAACATTAAACTGTTGATTATCCTAACAGATTTATATGCATGTATTATTTGTTTAATTTGGTAAAAATGGAATGAACTCACAGGGATATGTACTTTACCGATGATGAAAATGGCACCGAAAAGTCACGAAAACAGCTGTTACTTGACTGAAAAGAAAACCCTCCTCCAATCACATTGTTGAATCAGAGAATTATTGCAGGCAGATACTATTTGTGAGAACACCAAACATCAACACATTAAGTCAGAACCTGAAATCAAAGAAACTATTAACCCTCTAACTCCCAGAAGTGATCAATATGTATCTTCTCCCTATGATATTCCTACATTTTCCCACAAACAGGTAATGTGAGTACTCAAAGTTATCAAGTAGAAGTTGTTATCTTGATGTAACTCCAAATTCTGGTAACTAATTTACAATAGCAACTATAGGGAAGAATTGACAATCAGATCGTGGGAGTTGACCCTTTGACCCCTAAGAGTGACTGGCATCTACATTCTCCCTACAATATTACCCCTGAATCAAACATTAAGGTAACAAGAATATAGAAAATGATCACTAGCTAAAGAAGCTCTTGATTGTTAAACAAATTCTCCTTGTCAGCAACTTAGGAAACATGTAGAGAACAGTATGGAGAATATACATACTAATTTTAGGGTTTAAAGGGTGAAAGGGTGAACAAAGTCATGATGGTCTTGAAATGATGTGATGCGACAGCACACCACCTGTCTAAAGACAAACAGATATTGTAAGGAAAAATAACCCATTTGAGTGCAAATGATTGATGAGGAATGCTTTATTGTGGGAAAGAATGCCAATTATCAATTTTTTTTCCTCCAATTGAGTAACTGGGGTAAAGTTGATCATGTTTTCATGCGTCATCCATTGACCAGGACCAACAAGATGTGTGAAATTTTGTTCAAAGTAGGCTGATAAAAGAATGGTTTTTTTTTCATGCATGAATTGGAATCTTGACTCATCTTTACTTTCTGCATTGAATCTGTGACATGCTCAAACCTCAATATACATGTACATTATTTCTTTCTCTTTATCTTTTTCCTAAAATTTTGAAATGCATTAATCTGAGTTATTTGAATGATAGTTAAAATGGAGAAAAAACAAAGGAGATATAGCTTTACCAAATGTTCAGCCTTAATTGTTGTATTGCTATTATTCTAGTCCATTCAATCTGCCAATATCAGTTTCTTAAGGAAGGACTTCAACCTCACCTGTTGAAGTCCTTCCTTAAGTGCATAAAGGAGTGTCCTAAATGTGGTTGTATAAGCTGAATTTGTTTCTTTTTTGGTGTGAAAGCTATTTCTGAGCAATGGAAAAGGCATTATGCCATTCACTCCTTTTATTTTATATATACTTGCTAAGGTTATAACCTTGTGAATGTTCCTCTTGAAGGACTGGTACATTTCGACAATTTTTTGTAGGATGGTGTGACGTTTTGTTACTCAAATAATTTTTTCCCTTGAAGTAACCATAGAAAGATTTAATCATCTTAAGTTCTGTACATTTTCAATTGTCTGGCTTACATGCAGGCTATCTTAATGTGGAAGGAATGCTTGGTTTGAGAATTATCCAACCTTTTTTTTAACAGGACAACCCATTAGACCAGACATCAAATGCACAAGCTTCTGGTGGTGGTAAGATGTCTTCATTTGACTTGGTGTGCCCTGAAGACGATTTATATGACGAGTCTCTTTCAAAAGAGTCGCTCTCAGAAGCAGGTCAGGATTCTTTAGATACAATGCTTGAGTTCATACAACACAGCTCACTATCTGTAGCTGAAGCAGCATTTAATCAATTGACTCAAGGAGAGTATGCCGGTATTGAACCATTGGCAAATAGTTTCAGTAAGCCACAAGCTGGCTCTGAGAGGCTATCAAGTGAAGAAGAAAATGAAATATCAAAGGAAGACTTCCCTAACACAGAAACAAGTTGTGAAAGTGTGTCTCAAGAGGGTGGTCTTGAAGCAAAACACCAAAAAAACAAACAGAACATTTAAATCCTACTTGCACAAACAGTTACAAGAAGCTCAACAACAACTTGGATGAAGTTAAATCTGAAGATGGAAATGATGTATATTCATCAAACTCTCCATATTTTGATGAAGCTCAAAAAAAGTCTGATTCTTACTTAAGCAATCAGGCAAATGAATGGGAACATTTAGGTGCCAGACCAAAACATAGACCCCCTAAAAAGTTCAATAATTCCCTAGACTCTTCTTCACCAGTTGACCTGATTCCTCCACAAGTTGTAGAACCTGCGGCTCATGGAGTACACAACCCATTGTTGCCTGAACATCTTGAAGACAAAAAGGTTGGCCATGAGTACTGGGAGTGGATGGCGAGTGATGAAGTTGGTTTGCTATCAAGGTTACCTGACACAGAAACAAGGGAAACTTTGAAAGACATCCCTCAGCACACTCAGTTTTCCTTCCTCTTAGATCAAATTAATGAACTAAAGGAAAAGGTAGAACAGCTGACTAAGGAGGTGAAGCTCCAAGAAGAGGAGATACTAGCTCTTAAATTGCAAAGACGTGAGAAGAATATTTTTCAGCCACATACTGAAGATATTAGGGAGTGTGAGCCTTGTGCAACCAGAGGGTCATCGTCTGACTTTTACCATAAGAAAGGAAATCTCCGTAATGAGACGCATCTGGTGGATAAATCAGGTGAGAAAAGTATCACATGCTTACTGCAGCAACTTCTTACTGCATGCTCATACATAAATGCAAACTCTCCTGGTCTACTGGAAAGTCTTGCAGATCTAAATGAGTCTCTTGGTCACCTAATCACCTACTCTCTCTATGTCCTAAGTTTAAAATGTTTAGTTGGATATTTCTTCACCAACAAGGAAATGATGAAATTTGTAATGAATAATTGTATAAAATTTTGCGAATTTTTTCCTCTTCTTTATTACTTGCATTTACCCTAGGGAGTAACAATTTAACAAAAATTATTGTTTGTGACTTCATGGTGAAGAATCATTGTTTCATCTTATAAAACCATCATAAGCAAACTAAAAATGCAATCTTGACTTGCTTTTCATCAGTCATCTGCTTTTCTGCAAGGTTGTGATTTGAAGTTGCAATTTACCCATGATTTATAAAAATTGCTATATTTTGTATAAAATTGCACAATTCAAGACAGTAAATAGGAAGTACTCACTTCTGCTTTTGTTCTTCAACAATTGGAGAAAATTTTCAAGGTTGTCCACCTTTCAGAAGATTAAGCTTAAAATTTGTCTGCAAGCTGGGCATTGAACCATATAGTGGCATTCATGTGCAGTTTGTCAGTAACCTTGAGCTACTTTCTGATAAAAAGTCCCAATTGGCAAAATACGATTAATTCTTTCTGTTAATGGGCCAATCTTAATGAAACCATTGACATATTTCCTGATCATTTCATTTGATCCCTTGATAGTTGTGATGTAAGAATCATGGAAAGAGAAAAGTATTGCTGACTATCAAAAATGCTATTAAGAAATGTATATTACTGTGTTGGCTTTTGTTGTAACTTTAGTAACTTGAAAAAAGTGACTTTTGAGGATATGACTCAATTAAATTATAGTTAACATGACTGAATGTGACATCTTACATGTAAGTTGTTTAAATGAAAGTTCAACAAGTTAGCCATAAGCTTACCTAGAATTTGAAAATTCTGACGTAAGAAATGATTTGGTTTAAAATGTCCACAAGCTTTGAGAAAACCCTTTCAAGCCACCTTAATGCTTTTCTAAAAAGTTAATTATTAATCATTAACTTTGCATTGGTTATTAAATAACCTTACACTTGCTGCTCATATTTTTGCCTCTACTGTAGGTTCATTTCGGCATCATAGACTTATTGAAATCTCAAATTCCCTGTCAGAATCAGAGTTACAAAGACTGAAAGGCCTGGTTCAACCAAAACTGGACAGCTTTAGACTTGCCAAGATCAGGGAAGGTTCAGAATTGTTTCAGGAATTGGAATCCAGAGGAGAATTGTCATGTACCTCTGTTCGAGATCTTCTAGAAAAAATCCATCGGTTTGATCTAGCAGAGAAACTTGGTTCTTCTTCTCATGGCAGTGATGAATTATCTGAATGAGACTTTGATTCACTTCAAGAGGGAGGTCATAGGGAGGAAGAGTGTGAAACTGTTTGTGATGCAGATGATAGAAAAACTGATGAACTGGAAAAAAGCAGGGGAATGACTGCTTGTATTGAAGGTGAAGAAGAGGTCTCTGTTGGCAACTACTCAAATGAAACTGATGCTGGAACTAGTACTGGGGAGGATCTGTATGAATCAAGTTCAGTAATTAGTTTACAGCAAGAAAACATGGCTGGTTTGAATCAAGATTTTTTTTCACTTGAAGGCACATCAACTTGGAACAGTATCTCAGGTGCAAGGAATGCCGACCAGATAGATACAGTCATAGATCAGTCTAATTCCTACGTGAGCAATAGGTCAAATGAATGGGAGCATTTAGGAGCTAGACCTAAACACAGACCCACCAAAGATGCTAAAGACCCTCCTGCAGAAGCTTCTTCACACCATTCATTGTTGGTTGACCCAGGCCCACATCAAATGAATGAATTTTTGTACTACAACAATGCAGAGAAGGATCCGTCACCACAGGGAGCTTCCTATGTGGAAGGCATGATGAACTTGGCCGACTCAAAAAAGGCAAAACCATACTTTGGGGATTGTCAAGTTATTTCAAGGCCTGATCCAATATATTGCCAATCACATTCTTCATTTAATCCTCTGACTGGTGGAACAAGTGTTCAAGGAAATGATACTTCTGCATCATTAAATTCCACAGACAACTCCCAGCTTGAATTAGAAGAAGAAGAAGCATTTTCTTTGGTGGAAAGAGTTCGAGAAAGAGGAGAAAGAGGAGAGTTTTGTCAGGAAATTGAAAAAATAGAGCATGGAAAACAAGCAGAAAGAGTACAGAAGAAGAAAGAGAGGGAGGCTTGTCCAGAGGCAATAGGAACACCTCTGAGTCAGGAGGTAAAAGTTAGAGTTAGCTTTGGGAATTTGTTTTACATATAGATCAAAACAAAATCCTGTTGTTAATATTTTTCTTTCCATGTGCCACCTGTCTGCTTAAAACATTATACTGATATTGTAAGGAAAAATAACTTTTTTAAGTGCAGGGGTTAACTTGCTAAAGTTGAGGTGCCTAGAACTGATAAGCAATGCTTTAACAGCGTTAAAAAAATGCAAATCAACCCATTTTGTTTTCCTTTTCCTGGGTAACTGGGGTAGTAGTTTTTAAGGCTTTACATGTCACCCTTTGACCAGGTGGTAGAACTGTGTTTTATTGGGAGGTTGTTTGAATAACTTGAAGGTAAAGGAGTTAGTACTCAAACATATTTTATTTGGTAATGTAACAGCACAACCAAACATGTTTGAGTTGATTGAGCCACTAGGTCCTTTTTAGGACCAAAAGCATGCAAGGTTATAAAGTTCTATTAATTTAACACTAGATTCTGAAATTGAATGATCTGCATTTGAAACTTTAACAAAAATCAAGGTGGTGGCTATTTTGTTGACACAATATTTAGCAAAATTAATGTGACCAGATGATAAGTAACAGGAGGGCAGATTAAAATTTGGAGCAATTGTGTGCAATCAGGGTCAATGCTTTAAGATTTTTAGATTTCAGGTGTGGAAGTGGATTGAAGGAAGTTTGATTTGTAAAATTACTGTTTCCCAACAGGAGAGGTATATTGAGATGCCAGTCACCTGTAATGTGGAGTCATTAAACTCTACTAACAACAGCCCTCTGGCCTTTGTACAAGGTGTCAGAGATGCACAGAGAAAGGTTTCAGCGAGGAACTTACTGTTCAGAAGATGGTAGTGCACATGTTCTGTTCAGGTACATGTAAGCTTGTGATGTTTTTTATGCAGTTAGTCATCAAATTACAGGTTCTGTCAGACATTTAGTATAACCACAAATTGCATGGGAAGCTCAGAAAACCATGAATGCCAGAACTGTTTCTGGAATGTTATCAAGTCATGAAGAACAAACCAGTTGCAAGAGAACTTAACTGGGTGCTTGGAGATCTCATTCTATAATGTGATTGGTCAACCATAAAAATATAAAAATTTCACAAGTATTTGAAGTGCTGATGTCTGAAATCCATTATTTTTTCATTTTTTGTTTAAGCCTGGGTTTTTCCATAAGGTTAGTTTGGTGTATTACTTGTTAAGGGTTCCCTCAAATATTTTCAAGTAGAACAAGGGATATTTTGTGTAGTCCCATTTACTACCCTGGGTCTCATTTAAATGCCAAATGTCAGACAAAGCAATGTTGAAAATGGTTAGTCTAGTGCTTTGAAAAAACTAGCTTCTGAAGTAAATTCTGAATTATTTTTTAAATTATGTTATGGTTTTTCTTTGATAGTATGATCAAGATGCTGGCCCTGCAATCTGTACAACTTGTAACAAGTATCGATATCTGTAAGTATAAATCAGCAGCACAATGCATCAGATTTCTAATCCTCCCTGCCCATGTGTCCTTTTGAACTTGATCCCATTTTGATACAAAAAGATACATAATAAACCAGGAAAGATTAATGATGGGAGATATAGTGGTATGCTGGTTAACACACTTGTTGTCCTTTTCATAATGTGTGGATTGACCCTTAGCTGAGTCATATTTGTCTTTTATTCTTGGGTGAGGCACTTACTCCCACATTGCCTCTCTCTAACCAGGATTCCAAGTCTGTGAAATCATTACTGGCAAACCATATTTTATGGGGATGTCGTTGACCCACTTTGACTCTGAGTGACAATGTTAATGTCATCTGTAAATGACTCATTGGTGAATAGAGGTTCCTATTCATGAATTCTTATGGTATATTTGATTTATCTTTTCCCCAGAGGGCCATGCAGGGTTAGAGTTCAGAGTTGCTATGACGAATGCTGCATCTGCCAGAGGGTAATTTTATTGTTGTTATTAAGCATACAGTGACAATTTGTGCCCTCAGTGAACATACAGTAGAACCTTAGTCTCTGAATGGTATGGTGTTAACCCACAGTTTATTCCAATTTTCCAGCCATGCACTATTATGTAACTCTCCATTCATTCAAATTCTTTGATATCTGTCTGTTCTTGACCTCATCCCTCTTTTCTTACCCATAAGTTTTAATGGGTGTGGCTCTACTGTACTATAGCTTAAAAATTCACCTTGGAGAGAGGGTTAACTGTTCCACTCCTGTGATACAGATATTATTTTTCTATACTGTCTGCCACAGATCTATGGGCATTTTAGCTTTGAGAATATGTTGTTAGGTTTAAAAAAAAATCAATATGTTGATATTCTTCTTTCCCCTTCTACTTGAGAAATAACTTCCTGGAGTGTCAGGGTTATATTTTCATAAAATGGAGGTGGAAAGAAATGATCCATAAAATGTGACAAAGAATAAAATTCAAGTCTTATATGGTTCCTTTGAGACTGACTTACCTAAAAGATATTAGTTGTTCACCATTCCAATAGTTACCTTTTGGCTCTTACTAAAGATACCTTTTTTATGTGAGAAGGACACTCTTTTAAATTGGACTTCTGTATTTGCAGCATACCTCCAGCGGTTTGCATATTTTACCGTGCCTGCACAGGGCTCACATGGAGTGTATTGTTAGGCTGATACAGCACAACATGTAAGTTTGTCACAATTCAGCCAGTTCCAGCAATCCTCCATCATAATTGAATGGCTGGAACATTCTATTTTGTAGTTACTTAAGCATTCTCTTTCTGTTGGTCACCATGTAGTCTCTGTAATCATGCTGATCCATTTCGTATTCAAATTACAGGAGATGCTTAACCATTATAAAATCTTTTCTGATGATAGTTACTGTCATTTGCAAAACATACTTTTGCATAAGCAGGTAATTTATGTCTGACCAGTATGTCTGTATTTATTTTGCAGATTACATTGCCCATCTTGCTTTGGTGCCTTTTTTCCGTCAAGTTAATTGTGCTCCAAGGTGTAGTCCAAGGTTGTTTAAGTAGTAGTACTTCTAAAGAGTGAATCACTCAAGTCATGCCTGAAAAACAAGATTCTGGTTCCTTTTTGAACTTTCTTTAACATAAACAGTCAGTTAAAAAAGACTGGTGAGGCAATTATCAGTTAAGGTGATAACTAGGGAGAGGTAGAGGTGAAGCTAATAGGCAGAGGTGGAGGTAATAGGCAGAGGTAAAGCAGAGCTGTCAGTCAAATAGCTGCTAGCTGGCTAGAACCTCTGGCCAGCCAGCTACTTTCAAGCCTGTTAATCATAAGTGCTGATGAAAATTTATATGATCATCAAAATGCCATCAAAGAAATTTGCACAGGAGCTACTTCCTTGTTTTAGTAGAATTGTGTGGATAATTTAAAACTTATGGGTTTAAATGCATGAAATGATTCCATGTTCAGAATTTGTGCAAAGGCTCGTGCCAACTTCCTGGTTTGTGTTTAGTTCCCTGTTTTCCAAGTAGTCTGACAAAACATAATAGCATACACAAAAACTACCTGCCCGCTATTTCATTATAGTCCTCTACTTCCAAACCAATTGACAGCCTTGCTAAAGTCAAAGGAGACTGATAATAGTGTTGTTACAATTATGGTAAACTTTTGATGGCTAAAGAGAAATCCTTATTTGCTTCAGTATTTAACTGAATATTTATTCAATACCATTTTTAAGGGAAAAAAGATCAAAGCATTTGGTGAAACAAAGTTTGGGAAGTTTGTTTTCAGTATCACAAGATGCATATGTTTTCGTCATCCATCGTACTTCCATTTGTTTACACTACGCAATAATTTAAGTAACAATAATTTATTAACATGTATGATATGAAAGAACAGAAGACATTAGCGTTAAATGTTCAGCTGAACAAGTAGTATTGTTATGAAACCCAAGTAAACAATACCCATAGAATCATTCATTCTATGTTGATACTGGACTTCTTACTTGGATATTCATCCAGTCATTTTGAAGCTAATTCTAGCTCAGATAGTGACTTCATCAAGATGACTGCCAATATAGAAGATAATCAGAAACTATGATAGAGACTCATTGGAGTTGCCTAACATTTTCCTGCTGGAAGTGGAATAGAAGGAAGAGAGGAGATTGAGAAGTGATTGATTGAAAGAAGAGAGTGAAATAAGAGCAGAAATAGCAAAGGGAGGCAGGGAGGTGGAGAAAGCCAGATGGTGGCAACAATATCTGGAAGCAATGAGAAGACCCTCACATTTTTGGGAGGTAAGAGTTATTGTAAAGAAATGTCTGCCATGAAGGTCTTTTGCTTCCATTCTCCAACACCTCTTTCAGTTTGCAATTGCTACCAAGATGTTGTGTAGCAAATTGAAGAAGTTGGCGAAATGTTTCCTTACCCTTTACACCCAAACATCAGTATTCATATTCTCATACTGTTCTCTGTATGTTTACTGAGGTGCTGACAAGGAAAATTTGTCTAACAGTCAAGAGTTTCTGTAGTTGATGATCGTTTCCTTTATTCTCAAGACATTAATGTGTGATTCAGTGGTGATATTGTTAGGAGAAATTAGATGTTAGTCACTCCTAGGGGTTAAAGGGTTAATTGTTGGCATAGATTGATTTGTTTTCCTCAAAATTGCCTATAAAGATATAATTCTTCTTGAGGTTTTTTTTTTTAGGTAAGAAGAATTCTTTTTCCTTTCTAGAACTCTTTGAATTCTGTGAGCTTCCTGTTGCACAACAACAGCTCTCACAACCAAATCAGCTCTTAGATATTTTTACAAGGGGTATAAAAGAGCAGCATGGTTAAGGATTTCAGCAGGGAACCCATAGATCATGGCACAAATTTGCTGGTGAAGATGTAAGCAGCTGATGTTTTTTAGTGATAAAAGGTTGGTCATTGAATTACAGGTTGTGTCAGATCAGGTAGTAACCATGTTCAAAAATTGCTTGAAGTGCTGTCATTGTGAAGCTCAGAAAACCTATAAACATCAGAAATATTTCTGGGATATGTTATAAACTTGAGAAGGACAAACTAATGAGGCAAAAGGGAGCTTTACTGTCGGCTTGCAGATCTTTTTTTTTTTTTTGTAATATGAGTGGTTGATTATTATGGAATAAACAGTTAATATGAACTATAGGTGTTAATGATCCTTGAGGTACTTTCTTGAATGAGTGTTAAAGTGGAAAGGAATTGTATAAGTTGTGTGTGGAAGCTCATATCCATTTGGTTTTTATTTTGATAGAAAATTGATGGTCTTTAATGAGGCCTTAAGCCTATGTAAAAATTAAGAATTAATCTCTAAGCTTTTGCCGATCCACAGAAACCACTTTATAATTTGATAATGCTAAGTACCAGAGAACAACATGAAAAATTGACTTGTTTTTTTTTGTTTTTTTGGTTCTGTTTTATTTTTCTGTTTTTTTTTTCAAACGGGGTTTATTCCTTTTTGATATAGTGAAGTGATGTCAAAATAATTATTGTTGTTTAAAACAAGGGATTTTTGTGTGGTCCTCGTGATCTACAATTGATCCCCTGATGTATTTAGGAATAAGATTAAGGAGCTTTGCTGTTTATTGTATTTCATAAAGCATTCATTAATTTGATTACCCAGAAGTTTTAGTAGGTATGGTTCTATTGTAGCTTAATAACCCACCTTGATTGAAAGGTCCAACCATTTCACTCCCAAGATCTCGATATAATTTTTTTGTTACTGTCAGCCACAGATCTCTAAAATTTTAGCTTTGAGAATATGGTGTGAAGTAGGTCAAACAAAAGTAATTTTTTGCTTTCATTGTGAAAACTGACATTGCCTGGGGTAGAAGTGATTCATAATTTAACTGTTCTTTTTTGACTAGGGCCAAAGAAATGTACCCAAAGGACTTAGGTCAAACCAAATTTGTACCTACGTTTATTTGCAGGATGTATATAGTGTTTGTCAATTTTGTCATGCTCACACAAGGTTCACGTGGAGTGTATTGTCAGGCTTATTTGGCACAACTTGTAAGTGTTTAATATACAGTAATTCATTGTTAAGCTTTAGTTAGCACTGGGAAACTTATTAAGTTTCTAAGTCAAGAGGACAGGGCTTTCTCTATGGAGGGCTACTATTTCATCATGCAGATTATTTGCTCTATTCCATCATCACTAAATAGCAAAACTGTAGCATGCCATTTAGTAGTCACTCTTGCTCCAACGTCGCACTGTCACTAGGCTCTGTAACTGTGCTCTAACACTTCAAATTCTGCATCACACTTTTTAAGTTCCACAGGGAAATTGATATTGTAAAGGGCCTCCACACTCAATTTTTAAACATGTTATGACCATTTTATCCGTCACTAGTGCTATATTCCCTAAAAGATAGTTACTGTATATCATTTGAGTGACTCTGCGATTCTTTCTTTGATGAGGAGGGGGCTGGTAATCTGAACATTCCATTTCTTTTCTGATGCAACTTAATGCATCATTTGAGTGCTCTTCACTTACTTTGATCAAGGTGTTAAAAATGTCACTGGCAGTCATTATGAGTATGTTCTCTGTTTCTCTTTGTTTCTCGCATGAGACGACGCAAAAAACATCTCTCCTCTAAGATTTTACCAGTTATGGAATCTTTTCAGCATGTGTTTGTTAATATATATTTATATATTTTTTTCAGATTACATTGCCAAGAGTAACAGAACCCAAGGTCTGCATCAGGCCTTAAAGAAGTGAAGCTCATCTTTGTTGTTCAAGGAGTATTATCTCAGAGGTGTGAATCTTCCGAGCCATGCTGAATAGTCATATTCCTGTCATACCAATGGGGAATCAGATCTGTTGCCTATGAGTGGGAATTTCTTCCATCTTTTCCTTAGGAAAGGTTGACTGGGGGTATATATTTTCTTTTTATCAAGTAAAATGAGAAAAGAAAAGTTGATTATTTTTAATACAGTGGAGATCACACCTTCACTATAAAACAATCATTATTATCTAATCTGGTGAATCTCATCGTGTCCTTTTAAAGGCCTTTTATTATTTTTTATGTATTTATATATTTCATTTGATATTAATTTCCTCCATAGTTAAAATATATTTCACAAAGAAGAGAACTTGTGATAAATAAGTTGGAAAATTATAGTAAAATGTAACACAATGAATTGGCAAAGGTTTGTGAAGACTATGGATATGGCCTTGTTTTAAGTTATCTTGGTTCTGAGGTTAAAGTAAAAAATAAAATGTAGTGTTAATGAGCTGTATTCTGCTTCCTGTCTTTTGATCGGCGTCCCTCCTGATTTAAATTATCTTACTCACAACACTTCCTTTAGCAAGTTTATAAAGACAAATGGTTATACTAGATTGTGATTTGCGTTGGTGATTCCATGATATTATATGTAATTCTGTGGTATCACAGCCCGGTCGAACAGAAACCCAAACAAGGAAAGGAAAGGAACAGATTATATATGTGTATGCTGTATACTGTGGGAATGGGGGCTGGGGACAAATACAACCTTTACTTTTGGTTCTGTTTGGCTGTAAATTAAAAACGACTTCTACGATGAAAATTCAAAACAGTTGAAAATAGTTTAATTCATTGTGAGTTCTTTTTCGTGAAACATGGTCAGGAAGTACGAACAGACCCACTTTAATTTTTTGAGAATTAAGGTTAGTTAAAGGTAGTGCTGAACAATTAATTTGAAGGTGAAAACAGAGACATACGTCGCACAATTATGATGTCATTCGCTTCAAATTCTGAGAAACATTTGAGATCCTTTGATGAAGCAATTGCGTAGAACGAAAGATCTTCACACCCTGACTGTACTTTGGAGTAAAAATCCTCTTCACTAAAGGAACAGATCTGTCGTGAAGGTAAGCACAAGGTCGTTTTCTTTGATGGGCCAGTCTAGGCTCTTAAATATTTCATTGCAAGTGGATTCCCGAAAGGAAATCCAGTTGTCAGGGACAATTCTGCCATTGCTGAATTTGTTTTAAGGTGGCACAGTTTTAGATGAGCTGGTGCAGCACGCAGTTATAATTGCTGAAATTTTAATTGTCGTCATAATTATCGAAACTTAATAATTGTCGAAAATGTTTTTACTGAGCGGTTCATAGAAATATTATTGGCGCCTCCTTTTGGTTAGCGAATGAATCTAACTGAGATGATAGCAGACCGAACTGAAGTAGTATTGGTAAAAAAACGATCAAGAACTGTACGTTTGAGCGTACGCAAGTTTTTAAAGCAGCCCTTTTGAACGACCGCTCGACCAACACATTTCGCAAAACTAAGCTCATGAAAAACAAAGCTTGTTGATCATTTATTACACACGTATTCACCAGGTAGCTGTTGAGTTTCTTAGAAAAAAAGCAAGGTCCAATTTTAGGTCTTACGATTCCTGTTCAAAACAAGTCGGGATATGCTGAAGTCATCGGACCAATGAGGAAAACGGTATTGTTTTCTCATCCGGCAAAGACGTCTACTGAGTCGTACTTCAACCTCATAAACAATATTTGCTCTGTTTATATAAATAGCAGGTTCTGACGGTAGTGGTCCGTGTTGGATTGCAACGAGCTAGAGACGATTTTGACGAAGAAAGGCCTACCAAAATCATAATGCTGTTTGGCAACAAAATTCCTCAGCAAAACATCAGGCCCCGGTTGTTCGAAGAGTGGATAACTCCATCCATTGGATAAATCTCTATACGGTGGATAACTCAGTACGTATTGTTAACGCTTATCCGCTGGATAGCGATTTATTCGTGGGTTAGCGTTTAGTATCCACCCCTTTGAACAACTGGGCTCAGAATGGTTCCGGAAGAAGCTTGCTGACATTGGCCTCTTTATTATGCTTTCTTTGGATCGGTTTTCTCCTTCCGGCAGTTACCTACTTCTCCGAATTCCTCAAGCAATTATTTTTTAAAACCACTCATTAACGGGTTCAGCTTATCTAAGCCGGTGAGCTCGCCTGGGTTCTATTCACGGTTTAGTCAGTCTAATCCACTGCCATGCGTGTGTTACGATCTCATAGATCAGCTGATGTTCTTTTGCTAAAATTAAGTCGAAAATTCAGTTCCAATGACATATTTAGGTTGCTTTTCTGTCTGTTCATTTGAAGTTGAAAAGAAAAATTCTTTCATTCGTTGTCGCGGAACCATACCTGTTTAAGACGCAGCGCAACAATCAAGTTCTACACACGTTTTCAAACCAAAAAGCTCAGAGACCACATTTATTTTCAGACGTTAGGTACTTATAAGGCTTAGGTACTGGACACCACTGCCTAAAGTGCTTTGCATGTGGTCTCAGAAATACCGTTTCCTGTTATGATAATTATGCAGTTTGAAATCTTTCCTCCTCTATTGTTTTTTAGGAGTGCATCAAAAACAGAGTTGAGATTCGACCTGGGGGCCAATATTGAGGGAAATATTCCTCAGTGCGGCTCGAGCAAGCATTCCTAATATGGCACTCGGATCGAACTTTTTTATTTTGAATTAGTTGGCTCTAGCGACCAAAAATACACGGCTTATGACCGTTTCCGAGGAGCTCAGTGGTCCATGTTTATATCAAAAAGAAAAACGGACCAAGTATGAACAATTTAGAACGCTCAGATTTGCCTTAGGTTACCTTGCCATAATAAATGATATGAGATAGTGTTGCGTGACTATATTATGTCACAAGTTGGGTTTTTTTCCAATTTTTACTTGGTTCAAATTTGCATACACAAATTTGCGCCCCAACTGTTAAGCATCTGTATTCGTTTTCTTCGATGAAGTTTCGAACTCAACTTTGTACATCTTCCTACTAGATCACTAGAGGACAAAATCCTTTGGCATACATGACATAAAGGGCATTTTTCAAGCTAACTTGGGTGAGTTTGTCCGAGCTTTGAGCTTTTCTCTCGATGTTTACCTTTAACGCTTCGATTAATTTTTAGGAAGGACAGGCCTTAACGTATTCTGTTGAAAAATCTTGACTCTGTGTAGGACTGAAAGAATTTTTCAGTCACATGATTGTTATAAGAAAAAGACCCGCGCCAAGTTTGACCTATATTTTTTGATGTGCAGGTTTTCCCTCGTGTCCCCGTTTCTCTCGTGATCGTTTTTTTTTGTCTGTTTACAATTCACGCGCCTTCTTTGCATTTCGCGTTCCCAATAAGGACTGAGACATATGATGTGTTTAACAACCTATGAAAATGTTCTATATCTTATCCTTATTAGTCACAGAAACATAAATGTACAAATGTGGGTTTATCACATCAAGTTCAATCTTTCTATCATCGTTTTTTAGAAAAGCACCATAAAAACGCGTCGGAAGAAAATTTAAGAAACTGCTGCTCTGACATAACATTTTCTTATTAATCACTGTTTGATCCCCAGTGTAGGAGACGAATTTTTCTTCAATTCCTTTCGAAATCAGTCTTTGTCTCGTAGGCGACGAATGTTCGCAGAGAGTGATACTTACTTGCGGCTAACATTATGTTTTGAGCGTCACACCTGACAACATGGCCTAATGCCAAAAATTATGCTCAAAATGTTTCATTACGCTCAAGTTACTGATTAAAAACAAGAGCTTTTAAGAGCTCCTCAACCTCCCTTCCCCTATTCCTACCACCAAAACAGGTAAAGCTTGCCAGGTGATATAATTTGTTGTTTTATCGAGTCGTCATAATATTCACATTTAAAAAAAAAAGGTGTATTGAGCCGCCATTAGACTTGCTGCTTTCATGCCGAACTTAATTGTAATTGGATACGACTTTAGCACGGAAGAAACACGACTCTGATTCAGACATCGGACTAGATTCGTACAAAAATCAGGATTTACCGAAGCATAGTAACAAGCCATTCTCGTATCTTCCCGCAAGAACGCAATCCCACCAAATACATGAGCATAATTTATGAATTTGTTTGGCTCTGCGGAGGCACGACGTTTGAATCGCTGTGGCGCCAGATCGGCAGGAGCGCAAAGTCTTAACTGTGTAGACGTCGTGCTCCTGCTGTGTCGTATTAATTTCAGTTTCAGGAAACAGGTTCAGCTCATCTTAGCCGGTGGGCTCGCTTGGGTTCTGTATCGAACGCACCGGTAAATTTCCAGACAGTTACCCGTATCATACAATTTATTCGAAACCAGTGGTTTCTGACGGTTTGGATGAAGGGAGTACACAAAATGCCATAAAGAAACGATGAAAGGACGACAAACTGAATAACATACTGTTCTTTTTCGCGCGAAAATTTAGATATATACATACGTGCGCGGGGACTGAAGCCTAATTGGCAGGTAACCGCTGGCCCTGAATTTGTTTTAACAGGTTCTACTCATGGTTTAGTCTGTCTAATCCACTGCCATGCGTGTGTTCAGATCTCATACGGTTTCCACACTCACGGAAGAAAACTTTTTTGTCAGAGACTTTACAAGACTCTTTTTGTTGGGTCTAGAATTCAGAGAGATTTGAAAAAATAAAACTGTTATGCCCAATATACAACAGTTATGTATGTTGGTTATCAAATCGAAAGATTCAGTTGCAGTAACCCATTTAGGTTGCTTCTCTGTCTTTGTTCATTTGGAGTTGAAAAGAAAATTGTTTCATTCGTTGTCGTGGAACCATATCCGTTTAAGACCGCAACAGTCAAGATCTACACTCGTTTTCAAGCCAAAAAGTACTTATTTCAAATAAGTACTACTTAAGATTTAATACTTATTTACTACTTAAGATATACTACTTATAAGAATTAGGCCGGGGATGCCTCCTGCCTAAAGCAGTTCGCATGTGGTCGAAATTCAGAAATTCAATTTCCTGTTATGACGCTTAGATAATTTGAAATCGACTCGGGGACGCGAATGAAACAGTAATTTACCGATGGTTAGGTAAAATAAATTAATGGGAGGAGAGGATAATAGGCAAGATATCTTGGGGAAAAAATAATTTTTGAGCATTTTTGCCCTCTTAAGTCTACACTCCTAAGCTCGATGACCAGCCAATGTTCGGAACATTAGCCAAAGACCGGACTTGGAAGGGGCAGATATATTGAAGCTTCCTCGTCCCCAAGCCGAGCGCAATCAGTGGAATATTTCTGAGTTATTCCGTTGTGGCCGATATGCTTTTAAAAAATTGTTGATGTACATTTGATGAGAAGGGCAACCAATCGCTGCGTTTGAATTGTTATGATCGAGAGGATGTGAAACAAGTTCTTGTTTTCCCGTTATCAGAGGTTGGTGTCTGGTTATTGATTCATTTCTCTCCACTCTCCACATCACATACGAAGTCCAATGCGACACTGTTGAGAACCACAAGAATCATTTTAACTTGCTAGTGATGTAAAGGTGCCCTCGATGTTATTTTATTTCTAGGATTTGGAAGGTTGTAACATTTCGGTTCATGTGGATTTCAGCTAACAAAGAAACAGTTTTAGATCAGCTTGGTATATTTTAATCTAGCCGTCTTCATTGGTTTCCTTAGGGAAGTCTGATTATAACGACGCTAAAACTTTACATAATTTTGCACAAACTCGTTTTGTGTCTTTGGTACTAAGCAAAGTGTAAATTAAACATCTCGCTCGACCACGCAGCCCATAGAGGCAACTTTTGATATTTCCGCTTTTTAGACTGAAGCGAGTATGAGTATTTCGCTTTCAATTTGATCTGCGCATGGGTTTCATAGGAAGTCATAGGCCATGACTATGAGTAGACCGCGGAACCTCCGCAACCTCCAGCACTAGCGTAACCTAAGGACCCTCTGGAACCAGTAGAACTTGCGGAACCATTAATTATTTGTTAGAAAAAATAATAATGAAGTAAAATGAGATAAAAGCTAAAAAGACCCCAACACTGCTCTACATGGGGTTTTTGGGCAAAACGCTGTAAATCGAAATTCTACAAGCGTCACGTGCGATGATGTTTCTCATTCCAGGGTCATTCATAAACAATGCATTCCAGCCTATAGGTTTGCTGAGAGCCTTCAGATCAGGCGTTTTTCGGATATCGCGGTCACCAAACCGTTAGAGCTTTCAAGTTATTGTTCAATTGTTAACAGTCAGGGTAGATGACTGATGATTGCTCCTCAAGGCATTACGTACCCTTGTACTAGTACTGTGAATGTCGCCACAATTTAAGTTGGACGTCAAAGAAAATTAAAACAATTTCTCTTTTCAAGTAATTCTCTTTATGCCCGAAAACGAACTTTCACACAGTGTTAAGCTCTTCTAGTTTTTCTTTTATCTCATTTACTCTTCTTTTACAAAAAAAAAATATGGTTTTCCGGAGGTTCCGCTGGTTCCGGAGGTTTTGCGGTCCGCTGATCCGTAACTTATTTGTTACAGCCTGTATAATTATTCTCACTGTGTGACATGACATCTGTCTTATAACATAATTTGGCAATGGGATTTTTCCCTTCTTTGCTTAAATAGTTCAAATTTGCATACCGCAAAGTTTGCGTCGGTAATTATGAATGCATTTATTTGTATTCGTTTACTTCGATAAAGGTTCGATGTAAACGATGAATTTTTCGATGTAAACGCTGTACGTCCTCCTACCACAACGATTAGAGGGCAAAAGCTTTAGACAGTGGTATTTATTCAAGCTAACGTAAGTGAGTTTGTCCGAGGTTTGTCGAATGTTTGTCTTTGTTTACTTTTTGCTTCGATTAATTTTAAGGCAGACAGGCCTCAACGTGTTCTGAAATTTTTTAGTTCTGAGGGCAACTAGTAGAATAGTTCAGTCACATGATTGTTATAAGGGAAAGACCCGCTAGAAGGTTAAGCTATACATATGTTTTGTGATGCGTATGTATTCCTTTTGGTTCCTGTGCTTCATGATTTTCTAGTGATGTTTTTTTTTAAACATGAATGATCCCTTTGTCTGTCTACAATTTACCCACCTTCTTTGGGTGTTGTGTGCCTCCTAAAGATACGATTTTTGTGTTTAAAAGAAGCACAGAAACATACCTTTGGGTGTATCACATCCAACTTTTTTACGAACAAGATTGATGTTTTATCTTGCTTCGCTATTAAAGAAGCATTATAAAAATGCGTGGGAGGAGAAATTTAAGAAACTGCTGCTTTTTAAGATCAATTTTACCACTAATGTGACAACTATGACAACTATGAAGAAGAATGGAAACTGTGCAATATGATAAGAGTGCGACAGTGCAAACCAGACCCTGATTCAGTGGTGTTGACTGAGGCACTTTTACAGGAATTTGCGAGCAAAAATCCCTTTTATCTCAGTTACAATTTCTCATGCAGTTTATCAAGACACTTCATTGGAGATGATCTTGCAGATGAGCTTGGCCTTTCAAGATTTAACATGCTCTCGTTATTACGAATTTGTTATACTGGATTCTCAGAACATCATGTTTCACTCAAAGGAGAGTTTCTTTTCTTGAGCATGGACTGTATAAATTTGGGAAGTATGCCCTGAATACAATAGTTCACCTCTCCTTAGGAGGTAGGGAACCTTATTTCATCATGAAGGTGTATTCTTCCACACTAACTGTTGACAGATTTTTCTCTTAAACAAATAAAAAATGCCCCGATGGAGATAAAGTGAAGCAGATAGAGAGCGTACTACGTGCAATCGGCCGGTTGAACGATAATTGGACTCGATTCGCCCGTCATTTGTATTCTATTTAGAGTCTCTTGGTGTAGTTGAAATTTAGAGTCTGGTTTCAACACATTGTGTCAGTTTTAATTACGTGCCTGATCACTTTCCACGTTCCGAAAATAAACATCTGACCTGGGAAACCTTATGATTAAGCATTTATGTGTCGATCATATGACAAAATTTCTCAACTTTCGATATCAGCCCGCTCAAACAGGAACCAATCCTGAACTGAACATCAGCTCGATCTAGTTTGACCAGGTATGGCTAGAATTTTCCTAATGGTTCTCGAGATGATTACGCCTAGGAGAGGTGTTTTTGCAAATGAGGCAACAGAACTGGAGCTTGATCATCTTGTAATCTTTAAGACAAATGATTGGAAAGTCACGAGATAAGTTTTAAATCAAGGGGAAGGCTGAACAAACGTAACGCTTTGGAGTTTTGCGGCTGGCGTTGAAAGTCTAATGATTCTTGTGTAGTTCAAAAGTTAGTGCTGATCATTGTGTATGTAACATAATGTTCAATCGAAATGCACTCATAGGTAAGCGTATGGAGGAAAAATAAGCTATCTGTTCTTAAAGTTGCATGCATGTGATTTCGGAGAAAGCAAGGAACAACTTAGGATCTCAAAGGATGACTGATTTGCTTTTAACCGCCCTCGAAACAACTTCCACATTTAGTAGTAGGGGCAAAGAAGGCAGATGATCGTCATTAGTCGAGATACACTGCATACAAGGCATACCTTGCTATACATATCTGTAATAAATGTTATGATGATCATCATAACCGCCCCCAACAGCTTCCACATTCGGTCGAATAAGCTAAGTATGCATACGCTCGTTAATAGCAGACAAATAATGATTCAGAAGCATAACCTGCGCTGTACGTATTTGCTAATTATGCTTTATTGGAAGTTGATTCACTGTAGGTACGTTCCACTTCACTACTTGTGATCTACTTCCATTTTGAGCCATCAAACCATGACCAAATTAGAAGGCATTTCGATTGACAGGCGAAACCAAAACTCAAAGTAAAACCAACGTGCTCTAGGCGCGTAATACGAAAGTGACCGAGACCAAGACATGGTCGACACCCAATATTGAAACTTGCCTCCGCAAGCAAGCGCCGATCGACGGATCATTATATTTCGTCATGCTCGAATGGTTGTCGATAAGTTTGTTGTACCACAGGATCACAAACTTTCAGCATGGTATAAAAGATGGATCGGACCATCGGACCCTCGAACCATTGGACTATTTTTTTGGACTATTTTTTTGGACTATTTTTTTTGGACTATTTTTGGACCATTTTTTTCGACCATTTTATCGGAGGGGAGGCAGACCATTGGGATGCAGTCTATCAATACTCAGGAAGGGGTGGGAGGCAAGCTGTTGTTCATACAAATTATTAGTGCGGTTTTTCGAAAGACTTTTTTTTACGTCAAACTGTTTGGGCTGGACCGCAGCGTTTCTTTATATTTTTGACATGCGAATGCGAAACTGGCACCTAAACACTGGACAATAATTGTTATTGCTATAAAAACATTGTTGGTACAATCGTAGGAAGCGATCTTCTCTCATTTCTGATACACAGTTTTCCCCTAGTTGAGTGTCATGTCACGCATTTCACCTCGTAAAGATATTTGAAGGACTCTTAGTTTGTCCAAATTTATAATTTCTTTGGAATGAAGGACAGGTATGAAGTGAAATCATCTTCAACATGTCTCCTCCAAGATTGCTTTTGAAAGGTGATAGACAAAACACTGACACTCGGTCCATAGACTATCCTGGAGGACTATCCAAATGTTCTACCCTAAAATGGATTAACCTAACAAAATCCTATTTTGGAACCAGTTCTATTGAAAGCACCGCTCCTTATAAACCTACTTTGCTGGCGTCTTCTTTGTTTTCTTTAGTCGATGCAATAAAAAAGTGAACCTGCTTAGTTTGTCTACTGACCCTGCTTTGTACTTACACGAAAGTCCTTGTTTTGGTTAGGCAGTCAGAGAATGATTTAGTTGATCCGAAGCGTTATGATTTAGCACTTTGTTGTTCATTTCGTAAGTCTCTTGAAGTTGTTTGGTTTAAAAAAAATGTCTAATCTCCCAAGGTCAGCCTACTGACATGCCTATTCATATCTATCAGTAGTGTCAATAATATATCTGCATGTCACGAACACATATCACGAACAGCGTTGCGTGACGAGTCTCTGAACAGCTGCGAAGGAACACGCTCCACGCGTACCACGCGCTTTACAAGAAAAAAGAACGCCTTGAATCTGTTCTTCGGTTTACCACACACACTGATTGAGCTATTTTTCAATCGATATTTGGTGTTAGTTGTTTGCCTTGGAATGTCAATGATTCTATATATTGCTCTTGGCTGTTTAATTTGTTTCGGAAATTCCTGAAATGGCGACTAAAGTCATTTGCATTTTTAAGATACCGTTTGAAGCAGAGTGACTTTGGCTGAGATGATCTCGTATTACTTTTGCATTTAGCAACGCATTTCACGATCCAGAGGAGAACTTGGTAGCGTCATCGCAAAAGCATACGCACACACACGCAAAATGATGCTGACGTACAGCATTATTCAGCTTTATTATCAAAAAGTTTGTTGACACCTAATGTGGATCAATTTAGGTTTTAAGATTTACCTTCTTTTCAGGAGTGATACATTTGATATGGAAAGATGGACAGAACAGACCCCAAGATCCCGAAAAACGCTGGTTCAGGACCTCATCTTGAGGTTGAATTGGAATGTGATGATAATCAATCGGCCAGACACAGCACATTTGAAGACTTTGAAGAAACAATATATCAGTTCCAGCAATGCAAAGTGGAAGCAGCCGCAGAGTCTTTGCAAGCTGCGCATAAGCATTTCCTGAATCTAACCCCAGAGAGCTTTGGAAACCCGACTGATCACGAGAAGGAGCAGGTGGATCGAGGTAGAAAGATGTGTTTGAGTCATTGTTCCGCTCCTCCATTCTCTGGTGTTGTTTTGTTAAACCCCGAGCTGACCTCAGATAAGGATGTCCATTTTTATGCCAGCTTTACTATTGTCTTTGGTGCTGTTGCACTCAAGCTGCATAAATATAAAATAGCTATAGACTTATTTCAGCGATGTTATTCTCTTTTCACATGTGACACCACACCACTTTCTGAAAAAAACATGCCAGTTATGGATATTTTAAGAGCAGCAGCCAAGGCAAATGTAGGCTGTGTTTATCTCATTATGAGAGTTACAGACAAGGCTAGGGATTATCTAGAATGCGCACTGGAGATTTTTGAAACATTTAAAAACAAAAGCAAAACTGACTCTCCAGAAATAAACATTGTTGCTATACAAACAAACTTAAGCTTAGCTTACCAGTGTCAGAAGAACTACATTGCTGCAGTGAAGTTGCAAGAGCGTCTTATTCTGAAGGCCAAAGACTCCATTCTTCCCCCACATTTGGTAGCTGCCATACATTACAATAGAGCAGAGTTGTTCATAGAGCTCAAAGAGCCTGTCAAAGCACTCATGGAGCTAAGGACGTTGGATTCACTATCTGAGAGGATGAACAACGAAGAAGCAATATTCTCGAAATTTATATCTTCAAAAATTTGTTTGGCGTATCAAAAGATCGGAGATGTTGCTCGTGCAGAGAAAATAGCGGAGCGCTTGACTTTTCCTTCTCTTTCGCCTGAATCGCTATCACCACCACTCTCACCTTCGTTAAAATCGTTTTCGACAGCATCGGGGTCAGGGTCAGAGTCGTCATCATCATCGTCGTCATCAGTGTCATCATCGTCATCAACATCGTCATCTTCATCGTCTGCTTCGTCACTAATGTCTTCATTTTCGTTTTTCTTTACCGATTTTGAAGCTGTCTTCGGATATAATGGAAAATTCCATTGGGACATCTTGTTCGCAACGATATTGAATTTAGTTGATTTTCACTTAAACAAAAAAAACTTAGACTTTGTATCTTTCCTCGACGTTTTTGTACCAAGTTGCAAAGAAACGTTAGGGAAAAACCACCCAACATATGCATCGTTTCTCTGTAGGCAAGGTGTTAGATTTTTTCTGATGGAAAGAAACCTGTCATCAAAAAATTGCTTTGAAGAAACATTGAATATTTTTACAAGTTTTGGCTACGGTTTAGATCACCCGGATTTGGTGCAATGTAACATCGCTCTTGCAAGGTTATTATTGTGCGAAGACTTTCAAGAGGTTCCTCAGTTGAAGTCGCGCCGTGACCGAAGCTGGCGAGAATTTCCTTGTGATGCAGCAGATGGAGTTGTGAGCCCTGATAATCCATCATTTAGAGAAGACACTAACAAGTGGGACAGGAACGAAGAATTAGACGGACCAGCCGTAGAAAACCGTAGAGGCAAGAATTATGATCACCTTGAAAATGCGCCTCAAAAGGATAAGAACAAAGGAATCAGCATCTCGCAGAAGATACAGCAAACACCAAATGAAGTCAGTGGTGGACGGAATGACACTCTTAAAGCCTCTTTTCATGGAGGATATGTGGTTGCAGACAGCGGTGAAAACCCCGATGTTCTTACTACAAATGGGGCTTGCGGCTTTGACAAAGATTGGAATACCCAAGCTGTTGCCCTTCCAAAAACACCAGGAGATTCCCACGGGATTAATTCGAAAACAAAAACATATCTTGGTTTGAAAGGTGGACGCCGAAGCGATCTTCCGTCAGGGCACAGCTCACAAAGGGATCCAAGTGGGGATGACTTTGGAACAAATCACATCGGAATAGATCCCAGTTTTCTCGCACGTCATTCTTATGAGTGCAATGCATCTAATGAACGCTGGGATTCTTATGACCCATTTGAAGATTCAGAAGTGCCTGCAGGTTCCCACGCCGAATATAACAGATCTAGGTCTATGACTGAAGTGTACCACCCTACTCTTCCAAGTTCAACGAAATTTCCTGAATGTCGTGATTTTATAAAAACTGTTGCGGTGAAGACCTCAGGACTACCTCAATCTTCAAGTTTCCTTGAAGAAGGATGTAAAGCAAATCTCCCGTTGACAAATATCTTCCCAGATGGACATGTACTCGCCGTAAGGCCGACGTTCTCATCGCAGCTTGAAAGCAAAGATGACGCCCCGGGACCTCTGACGGACGGGGAGGGTGCAGGAGCTGGTCAGGGTCTGTTAAACAGTAATTCAAACACATCTGCTGACGAATCATTGGCCGTAATCGAGCAACGTGTGGCTGAAGCTTGGTGTCTTGTCCAGAAAACGTTGAGAGAAAGACAAGAAAGAGAAAAATCGATGAAAGAAACGGAGCAAAAAAGAAAAGAAAAGCGGGCAAGGAAAGAACAACTTGCACGTGAAAGAAAAGAAAGAGAAGCGAGGGAAGCAAGAGAAACGGAACTCAGGAATGAAAGAGTAGAGGGGAATTCCACGAGCGGTGGACAAGAAACACCTTTGCAAGACTCGGAAAGTGCTGGGATTCGACAATGGCTGTGTGAACATTATCAGCGGCTCTGTCGTGTCAAGTTCTCATGCTGCGGAAAGTTCTTTCCTTGTCATCGTTGTCATAACAACTCTGGGTGTCCAAATGATAATTCCAAAGCAAGAGAGGCGTGCTCTGTTGAGTGCTCTGCTTGTAGCCATCAACAAGAGGTAAAAAGGAATGACATTGACTTGAAATTTTATATAAGAGGAAAGAGAGTTCTTCCACATAGATTATAACCGATTTAACTTCAAATGTTTGATTTTTAAGATCAACCAGGACGCCCACACCTGTGGCAGATGCAAAACAAGGTTTTCAGCATATTTCTGCTCGGTGTGTAAACACTTCACAGGGGAGGATAAAGCTCCTTATCACTGCGAAAAATGTGGTATCTGCCGGTAGGTGAAACAATATTCATGACGAGTTTTGTCTTCGTTTGTTTGAATGATATCCTTGTTGTCCAAAAGAATAAAGGTCAGGGAGTTATTGGCCTGCTTCAGAGCTGTTGACTTGGGTTGAAGTAGGAATGAAGAATCCTGGCACAGTCTGTAATGCGAAAGCAAAGCATTTAAGGAGAGAGAAATGCTTCATCGAGGAGTGCATAAAACACCCCATCGCTAGTTGTTTCTCAAAAGGGAATAAGAGTCCGACAAAATACTAGTTTTGGTTTCCTCACACGTATTAAGTTTCCTCCTCAACAATTATTGCAGCTTATCGAGTAGAAATACGGCGCTTATCAGTATGAATTAAAATTTGTTTCCCTAACGAATCCTGTTGTGCTCGAGTGATGTTTCTATTTCCCGTTCAGTATCTACAAGGACCGCTCCTTCCACTGTGATGTGTGTAACGTCTGTCTGGACAAACGGCTGGAAGGAAGACATTCTTGCCGAGCAAATTCAGGACACGATGAATGTTGCATCTGTTTGGAGGTAGTTTCGTTATTTACATAATAAGGCTGAATAAGAAATATCTTTCAATAGGTTTTGCCGTTTAGCAGAAGCAATTAACCTTTCAATAAATTCGGTTCTATTCACCTGTCACGTTAGTGACGTCAGGTGCTTGCACTTCTGGAGTCGAAATCTGAAGAAAGAGAAGCAGATCACAATCCAAATGTCTATATTTTCATTTGGTTGATCGATTCTTTATTTCCAGGACGCTTTTAGCGGTTGTCAGATCCTGCCATGCTCACACAAGGTTCACCGCGAATGTGCTATTGCTATGATACAAAACGGCGTGTAAGTATGCTTAAATATCGTGATATCTGTTTTTGGGAATAAACTTAAATATGGAAAAACACTCCACTACTGCACCGAAAATGTGTTGGTATTTAATTCTGGATTGGGTTTGTGTGGACTTGCTCGAGCTATGAGAGTGTAATGAGCAGTTTTCATTTGCATTGAAGAAAAACCTCCGTGCCCTCGTAAGGAGCTTTTGTCGCCAGTGGGCAAGAGTGATTTATTGACAAACAGCAATTGGTTTTCGCAATTAAAGTAACTTCAAAAAAGATAGGGAACTACATGAAGAATTAACAGTCTGAACGTCCGGAGAAACAGACCTCCGTTCCCGCCTACAGCTGGGAATAAGTCTGGTGAAATCGACAAATCCCGGGTAACGCCCTGATTGTCCTTCTTTGTCCCCTAAGCTTTTGTTAGGTCTAGAGATTATTTCAGTTTTGGTTTCAAGACGCTCTGCGCATGTTGTCACGGAGTTCTCTTGTATCTAAAGCGATATTACTTCATCGGTAAACTTTGAAAGACTTTGTACGTTAAGTAAGCCAAAATTTATTGAGAAATTTCCACACAAGTTTTTCTCGAGTTCACCTGAATATTTCCTTTAAATTTGCAGTCGCAGCTGTCCTATTTGCCGCCATCCTTTGTATAGTCAGACAGGAATGAATGAGTGAATTACAACCTCGACTCCAGTGTTCAAAAATTCCAAGAAAGGGCAAATCGTTCCCTATTGAGATGTTTTAGATAGTGTCCTGATTGACGTATTCATTCTTTATTGTAGCCATGAATTTAATCTTTTATCCCTAACAATGAATGGCTCCTTATTTCTCCTGGCGGTATCACCCTTGGATTAAATGATAAATGTAACGAGAATAAAGGCAATGATTACCAATTTAGGAAGCTCTTGATTGTCAAACAAACTCCCATTGTCAGTACCAGAGGATATGTGAAGAGAACAGTGTAGATTGTCAGGGTTAAAGACTGTAATAGTTATTTTAATCTTATCTGTACAAGGACGCAAACCTGAGGGGAGAGGGGAAATGAGGGTGGCAGGATCCCCTTAGGTCAAAGTGATTTCTATGCAGTGGCTTTTATATCCAAATTTATCGCTTTCATCTCTTAAAAGATATGTGTGCAAGGCATCGATTAGTCCGGCGAGGAGGTGGCTCAGTGTATCATAATAGTGAGGCCATTGTAAAATAAATTATATTTCTTATCATTGTGAGAAAACTACATAGTAAATTGTCCAAAGCCTGAGCAGCAAATTAGATTTGGCAGCGGATTGTTTTTTTTTTTCTGTAAAATAAAATGAAAAAAGCCAAAGCCAAACAGAACATTTCACATGGTGTTGTTATTAAGTTCCTGGTAGTGTTTTATGGTTATTAGAATGCTGTTTGAAATAAAGCCCCTCCACAACTTTTTTTTTCATATCTAGTTACACCAGAATAGGAAGGAATTATACGAGTTTCAAATTTCATCTTCTTTGCCTTCGGGAGACGTGTGATAGAGAGGAAGGGAAGAAAAATCGAGCTTGCTCTTGAAATTTCGGGAATCATTTATCAAGTTAGTAACGAGTAATATTGATGCACTTCTAGTGACTAAATTTACTTACTAAGCTTATTTTATTATGAACTGGTAACCTTCTTAAATAGAAGGTATTTAGTTTTCGTAGGCTTTACATTTTTCATAGTTATGTAAGTAGTTTGTTATTTCATTCTGATGTAACCCTGGGATTTGAAACTTCAAGTAGCTATTCAAATTATAGTTACGCGAACATTATATGGTTTCGCAAAGAAGTCGAGTTACAAGTCGTATTATACATGATTTTTTGCCCTGTCTCAGCAAGTTTTTAGTTAATTGTACATTTCCTGTCGGTTTGAACATTTGAGAGACACTAACGAAGCACCTATTGATTGTCAGGAACCGTTTTTACCCGCACCTTTCAATTGTATTACCAGTGAAATATTTACTTAACTTTAATCTTAGCATCCCTTCTTAACCTGAGGGTCTAATATCTCCAACAAGGAAGGGCACGCCTCTTCTTGCTTCTAGTTCTCCTAAGATATCAAATTTGGCGGTGGTGCATATTCTGGGGTGGCACATATTACTACGATTATCAATTAAGGGAGACACGTAAGAAGTCTGGTGATGGGGATTTGACCATAAAATATCGCTGTTGTCACGGGCAACCTTCCTCGTTTCGTAAGGTAACCGAATGTCAAGAGCTGTGGGTCACCAAAGGTAAAATTTAAAAGCCTCTGCCAATGGAAACGGACCCAGTTTTCCGTGACAACACTATTTTAACATCAAAATGAAGTCTCCAAACTTCCGTCGTGCCTCACTGAAAACTGAAATTTCTAATGCCGCCCTTTTTGGATGTAGGCCGTTATTTAAGGGAATACGGTTCGTGACATAATACACTGTGTCTATGGATCTTTGGTACCTCTGCATTCTATTCCTCGAAGCTCGCAGTTTTCCTTGAGCTTTGCTTCCGAAAAACTGTTCGCATCTCAGAACAGATAATCTCCGCGAACAAACATCTGTGCATATATTGGCGCCAAACTTGCTCAATTAGTCTGGTATATTTCTTATGCGATCTAGCAGTAATGAACACTACTTAAGCAGTAGTGAAAATAAGGCCTAAAAAAAATCCAGGCCTATGTTTTTCATATATTCATAGTCATTTATTCCCACAACTCTCCGCGCCTTGCGCTTACCTTGTAGCCATAATACTTTCATTAGAATACGAAACCACTTCCTCTATATTTCTGAGAATTAACCAGGAACCGCATAAATTATGATTGGCGTCCAACAACTATGTCTTCGGCGACGTCTTGCTTTATGTCTTAAACGATTATACATGCACACATAACACACTAGGTTAAGACAAGATTCATGAATCACAAAAGGAAAAAACACTGTGATAGTTACCTTAATCCTGACGATGCGAGCTACTAAACATTACGTCACTTCCTTTCAATTTCTGGGAAGTGCAGTGGCTTCGAAGAAAACGATAAATTGTGTCTGGATGATTGTGAAGAAGCTCCCATGCACTGAATTTGAGCGTGCAAATCGTGAAGATTAAGGTATTTATCACAAAATTATTTCCTATATGGTTCAGGAATTCATTTTTGGAAAATCTTAGTTAACCAAAATCACTTTCTTAGACAGTTTGTTACCTATGTATTTCTTCTAAAATTGTTTTTAAAAAGGAAGACAGTTGTTTAAAAGGATTATAACTTTCCCTAGATCAAAGAGTCGTGAAAAATGTATGACGATTAGTTTCAGACGGATCAAAACCAAATTTATATGGATGATGTATCATTTGCGCCCCTCATTTAAGATCCGCATATTTTTGGGCTGCTTCACTCGATGGGAATAGTAGATGTCGCCATAATCCATCCATTCTAATCTTTGCGTGTATGTTTTGCGGAAAAATGGAAGCGAATTAGAGAAGCATCCAGTGAGAAGTGCATTTCCTATAGAAAGTATGTGGTTCATTCCTTTCTATGCGTCAAACATCTCCTGCCCTCGAGTACTTAGCTTCACATAGGCGAGACCTCTGGCAGTACTGCTTAACATAATTGAAAAAAAAAAGTAATGTTGTCCAGACAACTATATCCATTTCACTTCCATAACCAACGGGCTCGCTACCAACGTCACTTAACAACTGAGTAGTCTAGAGGGCTCGAACGAGGAAGCTTCCTCTCGTGTTTGTCCGCCAAATACGAGTTTGGTCAACTATAACTCTTTAATAACACATTTTCCTGGCGGTTTGAACAGAAAAGTATTTCTACTTCAGGCCTTCGCTTTTTTTTTTTTTTTTTTTTTTTTTTCATTTAACGGGTGAGATAACTTGACAAAAGGTCGCGCGAAATGTAATGGTGAAGTCGTGGATTTGTAGAAGGTGCGGGGGGGGGGGGGGAAGGGGTTGCTCGATCGGCAGTCAATTTTCCATGGTCCCCCATAGACCCCTCTCTCTGCAATGACTAGTCCCCCAATGACTAATCCCCCAATAACTAATTCCTTAATGTTTAGTCCCTCAATACATATACAAAATCTACTGAACTACCTTTTCAAGGGGAAGGTGGTGTTACTGACAACCTTCCACGAATTACAGACCAGATGGAGGGACATGGTGGTGCCGCTGCCGCAACCAGTTGGTGCAATGATGCCACGAATGAAAACCAAAGAAATATGGAACGTGAAGTCGATTCGAAGTCACTGAAAGTTTCTCAAGAGAGGAAAAACAAGAATAAAGAGTGTTTATCAGGAAGAAGTCACAACACAAGGCCTGAGGAATTTCTAGGCTTAAAGGGTGGAGGACAAGATCCATCTTTCTTTAATAGGGGCCGAGGTTACGAGAATCATAAATTGGTTGCTTACTGGAACGAAAAGGACGCAAAGTCTGAGAAGTTTAGATCACGAGATGATATCCGAAACACCATAGATAAAAAAGAATCAAATTTCTTTGGTATAAGGCCTTGCTTCCTTGCTCGTCACTCATATGATAGTAGCATTACCACTCCTATCGATGACATAGGGGATTCAGCGGAAAACACAAATGAAGGGTCTTCCAACACTTTTTCAAGCCATCAAAGGTCATCTTGTTTCACTAATGAGCAAGGCTATCATGCTAATTACTCCTTTCAAGCCCCATCGTTTCATTGTGAAAGTTCAAAAGTATCTGCCAACGCACAAGGTCCAAACCCCTATGGCACCTTCGATCCTAACCCTGCAGTTTGGGGTCTACCGGTGACTGCTCGTCCTCTACTTTCTCTTCCCTGCACCGGTTCGGAGCATCTTCAAACCCTTTCCTGCGATGACCCGCAAATTGTGGTGATACCTTCGCATGCTTTGATCAATGGTGACACGCCGTTGAAGCAAACACCCCTTTTACCACAGCAGAGAAAAGTCGAGGATCAACGTACTGATCCTGAAGTACAACGGGGGAGAAACTCTGATTTTAAAGTCATGAATGGAAATCCTGCATGTTTATCTAATACCACTTCAATTGCACAAGGCCTGGTCTCCCCTGAAATGGAAATCTCCGCTCTGCCACGAGCAGCCATGAACAGAAATCTGACATGGGAAACAAGAATACTTGCGGATCAGGACACGGCTAATCAAGGGCTACCGTCTCTCTCAAATTGTGATTCGTTAGCTGACCTAGAGCGACGAGTGGCCGAAACTTGTTCCCTTGTCGAAAAAACCTTGAAAAAAAGGGAAGAAAAAGAAAAGGCAATGAAGGAAAAAGAGCGAAGGAAAAAAGAAGAGCGGACCAGGAAAGAACAACAAGCACGTTAGTCAGGCTTAATAAAAGCCTGACTAAGTTTACAGTCTCTGTGGCCCAGTGATAGAGTGTTTGAGCGTGGCCTGACTCAAAGATTTAACTTATTAGCTCCCTAATTTCTATTTCTGAACACTGAGAGACAGTTTAGAGCTTCGAATGATTGAGATATAAATTCCGAGGAGTTTATAATCCTACATTACAAGCATGGCTTATTGATTGTTCCTCTAAACGTCCTTATACTGATCCAAAACATAAAATTTGAAGCCCACGATACTACTTTACGACGACCACATGACTGAAAGGTTCAACTCAAGAATACGGTGGAACTCGTTGATTTATTTGAGATTACAGCTTTTTAAACAAAATAATGAACGCGAAACTAATTAAAAAGCATGTTGTATTCTTCATAAAGCTAATTCACTGAATCATTCGTTGTTCATAATTTTGTGCTGTTTATAATGATTCGATTCAGCACCCAACCCATAGTAGACGACGTATTTACGCAGTGTTTCATACGTACATACATACATACCTATTTTATTGAGACTCCCTTCAACAGGGCTTTTCAGTCACAATGTAAACTATTACATAATACTGGTAATTAAGAAAACTTATTTACAGTAACTTAATTAAATTCAAAATATTCAAAGTAATTCAAAGTATATCCAAAATTATTACGTATGAAACAAATACTTAAAAAGTATCCGCGTAAAACGATTAATTTCTTTCGTGTTTTTCCATTCCCTGAGACACCGATAGTAAAATGCCCTTTGTCCTATGGACAATCTACATCGTGGGATCACAAAATTGTTACATCCCCTTGTGTTCTTGTTGTGAAGTGCTGACCGTATAACAAATATTTACCTAAATAGCCTGAAGCTAGGCCATTCACACATTTGAACGTTAAAACAAAGTCATTAAATAAAACCTTCTCCGTAACATTCAACCATGTGAGAGATCTCCGTCCCTGAGAGATATGGTCGAAATTCCCTAAATCTAATACAACTCTAGCAGCAAAATTTTGTACCAGCTGCAGATTCTGTAGATTATGTTTAGATGTGTTTCCCCACACTGAAGAACAATAAAAGAGTTTGCTGAAAACAAAGCGATTTATAAGTAATAAAAGTGTTTTCTTTTGTAAAAGGCGTTTAATTCTATTTATCTGTACTAATTGTTCATGCAACTAGAGGCTGTTTAGTGATATGTAAATCGTAGGTAATATATTGATCAATAGATACCCCGAGATTCTTGGCAAACGAAACTAGTGAGATAGTTTTAGCTAACAGGGATAAGGAGATATGAGATAGCCTCTTAATAAGTTGTGCTCACTGTTCAAACGGGGTGCAAAAACCAATAATCGCGAACTTACGTGAAAGGTAAATGCAAAACTTTACGTTCCATTTTACAAATTTAGTCTTTCTGATTACCCAGGAGCCTGTTTATTGAAATTTCCAGTAACCATTAGTCCGAAAATGCTGTTTTAGAGATATTAATGGCTTTTAAATTCAAACAATAGAAATGTAAGGAAACGAAACAAATTAAAACGGGCTGAGTTTTGAGCGAATACTCGCTATACTATTCCTTAGATTAAGATCTTAGAACATGACCCGCGAAGTTGCCAAAATTTGCGAGGAAAGAGCCCCTGGGATAAATCGAATCATTTTAGAATACATGCAGTGTTGTATAGTAATACGTTAAGAATTGTCGATGATATAAGTTCCGTTTTGTCCCTGTTTGTTTGCTTTTTTCGCCAGAGTGTAATTCATTACCAACCAAACCAATGTCCCAGATACATTTGCCCGAGGAAATCTTAAGCCAGGCGTTCTTAACGCGAAGTTTAAGATCAGCATCGACGAGTTATTTAGTTTTTCCTCACAAAATTTAGGATTGTTGGTAAAAAAACTCAATATTTGACAATTAGCGATAACATTTTGATAGTTTGATTATGTCTGAGACCCACA